TTGACTCGAAAAAGTTATGATCAAATTTTCATCCTTTTATGTGCATTAGCATCGAATATGTATCTATAGCCAACTTCACAGACTTTCACAGTTTTTCAGATAAATTAGTTAGATTAGCTAAAACAAGGTTCAGTAAGTCTCGATGAAAATGTATAGTACTGCTTGCTCACATATTTAAATAAAGGTTTTGCCGTTCCTCGAAATGACTGCACACTCAAAGCTTGGCAGAATCAGTAGATACTACTCAATTCAAGTCACTTCGTCAGAGGAGCCATAAAAATTAGAGACACATTACGATATACACTAGCGGACAAAAATAGGCGCAAATTTAGGGTTTTTATTTTCTGAAATGCTTCTTTTCAAGGATGACTTTGGGCAACCTTCACAAGAAATTTAAAAATAACCTAACATAACCTAAGAATATTTGATCAAACCCAGCGCCTATGGAAATTTTTATAAATTTTAAGGACTTTTTCCGGGTCCGACAGTTTTTTCCGGGTCCGAAATACCATATTCTTCAATCTGCGAGTGAAGATAGTGAAAATGCGTAGAATAGTTGAATTTAGAGAAGTTGTCAGACTGATCAGCTCAATTTAACTGCTCGAAATGTTTCACATCTCAATAAGGGTTTTTTCCTCCGGTTAATCGAGAAAGAATTCACTTCGATGCACAAATGACTGCAGATGGTTAAAACTGGCTTTTTCAGACCTGGAAAAAGTCCATGAAAGCAGATTTTAATAGCTTTGATGATTTGCTCTTGGTGTTTGTAAGAGTATTTTTTAAGTTCTCAGCAAGTTTCATTCGAAATCATTATGGAAAAGAAGCATTTCAGAGTAAAAACCTCAATTTACACTTAACTTTTGCACTTTTGAGTATCAGATAAATTTATCAAATCACTTAATGAAACATTTTGCATAAAATTTTCAGTTTCTTCAAGTAAAATTTCGAGCAAGAAATTTTTTTCACGTTGTATGTAAAACCAACAAATTTGCATCACAATTCAAAAAATGCAGCATAATTTGACTCTAGATAGAGTTTTGAAATTTTGTAACTTGTCTTTTTGCCACTATTCACATAAGAATTCGACCTGATTTGATCAATCTTGCCTTTTTAGATCTCTACCTCCTGTATGATATCAATAATTTCGAAAAAATGAAAAATAGCTTATAAAATGGTTGCTTACTTTTTTTAAAATTTTTTAAAGAATTTTTCAATTGGAGTACTGAATCTGCCTCTAACAAATCGGTTACAGACTGGTGTTTTTGCGGCTTGTTCATGTCGTGTTTTGAAGCGTTTTAAGGGAGTATTTGTTAAGAAAAAATTCGATTTTTTTAAATTTGGAAATTTGGGCCTACGTTTTTGAACATTATCCCTCAGCTGCTGGTAATTTGGCAAAACCCTGAATGTGCCAACTGCCGTTTCAAGCCCTGAAAAATTTTTTATTTCAAAAATGGAAAAAAGAATTGAAAATGAAAACCAAATTTTTTCTTTGTTTGTCCCAACCTCCTCACGCTATGCCAAAGGGCAAAAACGAATTATGAGTCTTGTAACGCATTTTTACGAGCAAATTGTTCGCCTCAGATCAGCTTAGAACAATTTACTTTGCCACTTATGCGAGAATAGTACGAAGTATATCGTGCGTTATCATACCAAATTGGCAAAATTAGCAACTTTCAAACATCATAAAGTCACGATAACTGATCACCGGTAAAATATCTTTTCGGAAGTCAGAACAATAAGCGCAATTTTGGGGCCAATAGCTTGCCTCATTTCATTTTGGATTTGAGATGGAGACATTTTTTGCCTTCGCAATGTGTAAAAGCAAATTGGAAACTTTGCGCAAATTATATTTCTCATATCAGCTAAATTGGAAGTTTTAAACCCCAATAACAAACACAAAAAATGGTTGAAGGTGAGAAATTATTATTTTTTAAATGTGTGAACTAAAATGATTGTTTTCCAAATTAAAATTTGAATTTTGCCTGAAAAAAAAATCATCCGAGCGCAAAAAATCTGTCACTTTTATTTAAAAACGGAACAATTGAAAAAACCTTGTTCTTGTCATTTTTACCGGCCATTTTTCAAAAGGAACCACGTAGATGCATGTAAACTCAATTATAACATTAAAAAAAGCAAAAGCAAATTTGAGCTTTTCGCAAGGAAAACTAGTTAGTTTTTCAATTATACATATTTTAGTAGGGGTTTTTCGGATTTTCAAAAAAATGTGTATTTTTCGAAACGAGAAAACCTTTCGATAAAAAAGTGACCTGGGTTGAAAGAAGCAGAAGTCAACGAGACGGCAATTTATTAAGTAATGGGGTGATGCATTTTGAAGCCGGAAGCAGTTTTCTCAAAGTGTATTTGGATGAAGTGAAAAGTTTTTATCAGCCCGATTTGGAATGGCATGAAGTCGGCGAATTAACTATGAGAAGAGCAGCTAATCGATTGCTAAACCGAGACGTAGACGATCCAATTCATAACTATTCTAGGGATCTCTTTAACAACCCCTCTCCCCATCTGCAAAGAAATCTTTACCAGGAAAATAATGAGTTGTTTTTCTTTTGTTTTAGCAAATATGTTTACGTACTAGGTCTAGGTTCTGCTACTAAGTTCTTGATAGAAAATTCGCAGCGTCGCTGTATCATATTCAATTATAATCTGCGCTGGCTGAAAATTTTTATGTTTTTTACAACTTGAAGCATTTTTTGGGCGTTTTTTGGATAGTTTTGACCAAAGGGTGCCGTTGTTTGGTGTGCGCTCTCGCTTTAAATTAGCATTTATTGGTTTTTGGCGCCTTCAGAAAGATTTTAGGGTTGGTCAACTAATAGTTGAAGTCGTAAAATAATTTTAAAAAAGGAGGAGCCTTTCGAAGGTCAGGGGTCAAATCACAGAGGGTGAGAAGGAGTTTGTTTTGCACCCCTCTGAATCAGCCCCGCGAAAAAGGCGATAGCAAAAGATATCCCTATTTTAGTCCAAACTTGACTATTTTGCCATCGTTTATATTCACATTCTTAGCTCCAAGATACATTAAAACAGATTTATTTAAAGCCAACAAAAATGCCACCGAATGGGAAAATATCTTCAGATGCGGACTTGTTCTACATTTGGTTGGACCCGAATCAAAAATCGCACCCATATCAGGTGATCCAAAAAAGAATATCTACTCGTACTTGGCACCCAAATTATGTCCAATAGCATACAGCAATTTGACAGAATTTAATTACAAACCTGCTTTTCATGAAAGATATTATATTAAAAATGGGTAACAGTTCGACCACAAACCAATAAGGGCGGGCTTTAGACTCGGATAATTTTCTCTGCAAGCAAAACTAAATTACTCTAACAAACGCCATAAGAGGTTGGTTGATTCTTTTTAGTAAAAACTTTTTTCATTGTGATTGGAGTTTAATGAAAATTTTAAATAAATTTTTCTCCAGGGCCGAAAAAATTTGCGTCAAAACTTCAGTAAGATTTTTTTTTATTTTGCGACTACTAATCAATTGCGCAAATCAAAAGCAAAATCTGAAATAATCCAGAAAAACAAAATTTCCGATCTGAAATAGCCAATTCATAAAGTATCCAAGCGTTATTTAAACATTTCACAACCCATTTGAGATCTGAAGTTTAGATCTGAAAAAGGTTATTTCAGATCTGAATTAAAAAATCTGCTAGGTACGGGATTGCAACTAAATCTATGGTTGATAAAAATTCGCTATTTGCACTGCAACAACTGAAGATGGGTAACTTGGAAACAATCAAAATTAATCTATTAAACTTAAATGATAAATTACTTGCAAAACTAGTCGCCTCAAATAAATAGAAACCTGTAAATGTTTTTAGGAAGTTTTTTATGCGACCTCATAGGTGTTTTGAAGATGATTTTTGAATCATTTTTTGCGAATACTTTGTGGTTGAGCATTTGATTCTAATTCAGCAGTAACATTTAACTCTCATTAATTCTCTATCAGTCGAATTGTAAAAAATGTTTCTCAATATGAAGCAAAAAAAGTTAAACATTATTAAACGTTATATTTATTGAAATAGTTAAACATAACTTCTGAGAGAATGCGTCAGTTAGTAAAACAAGGGCATCATATCAAATAAAAATTAAGGCCTTGTTTTTATTATGAGGTCACACTGCACTGAGTAGTCACAAAATTAAGTGTGCGTAGCTCTCAGGAATCCAGAGACAAGCTTCTAAACATGCTGAAGTTTTGTGTTCACAACCAAAGGATACCCATGATCAAAGTAATCAGGAAACCAGTAATCATTTAGTCATTAACACTCGTTCATAAATGTTTAACACTTGGGCTGCCTAGCCAAATTGAAGAAATGCTTAAAAAGTTCCTCCAACTGAGATTATGAGCGCTGAAATTAACAATTTACATTCTGCAGTACCTTTTATAGGGTTCTCTTAATTGGTTCATTTAACGATAGTGTAAGAGACTTGCATTCCTCTCTCCAATTACCCCGGGGCAATTAAAGAGAAAGGAAAACAGCCTCGTCCACTATCACCAAAGCCCTGGCTGTAATCCTGACAGGGCAATTTTTTGTGATTGTTACATTTTCAATCACTGAAATCAAATGCACCGCCTTTTCTTTTATTGGGAGGCGTTGAATGTATTTGAGAGTCTGAGAAATGTCTGAGAAATGTATTTGAGAGGGTTGTGCTTTCTATGTTCGATAAGTTTCTGCGAGGTCGTATTTTTTAATCAAATTGGTATAAAAAAATCGTCAATAATATAATTTGATCGCAAAAATAAAGCTTTTCATTTTTTTTTCATTTTTTAGAAAAAATATTTCAAGCTTACGGATTATCATAGGCAGATGGGAAACATTGGATACAGCCCGCTTGAAATTTAACTTTACTTGCAGCTCAAAATGACTTCACCGGCTCAAGTAAACTTCATCCGGTTTATTTACGCTGACCGTTTTTGTTGTGCATATTTCTAAGCTGGTTATTTCACACTCAATTAATTAATCATGTCTTCAAGGCTAACCGTGGTAGCGGAAGATAGTCTTGGAGTGCCATTGTCACTGGCAGTAATGTCCACTTGGAAGATCCTCCTTCCATCTCTATCAGGAATTATCTGTTCAGGCAACAGCTCAAAGTCGACAGGAGCAAAAATCAGCTCATTCTGAAACAGAAGATTCAATTTTGAAACTACTAGTTCCCAAAATATAACAAGGATAGCAGGTTACTGAGGATAGCAAGGATAGCACAAGTATAGCACAGAATAATCCGACCATAGTTTAAAAAATACAAAAATATTTTCTCAAATTGATGCCGTTTTTTTCCTGCATGTTGTGATAAAAAAATCGGATCGAAATAAAATAACCTCGGCCAATTTGAGAGTCATAGTAAAATAGGTCAATTGGAAAACAGTTTTTGAAGAAAAAAGAAAAAATTCAAAAAAAAATTAGAAAATTTAGAAAATTTAGGAAATTTAGACTGTTTTTTTAAGACTGAGTTCAAAAAAAACCCAAAAAAATTCGCGAAACTTTTTCAGCCCACTTTTCCAACGCTAAAACACTTTTTCTAAAATTTTTGTTTCTCAAAAACCCATTAAACAGAATCACGCACGTTTAATGGGTTTTATTATGATATCACTTTTGAAACCGCGCGAGCTTTCTTGGAAGTGCTTAACTGTAGTTAAAACAAAGTCTATATTCTTCCGACCATTGAAAATGGGGAGGAATTTTGTATTCGGGTTTTTTAGTTTTTTTGTTTTCCACGCAAAAGCAAGTACCACAAATAATCATCATGGGTAAGTTGAGCGAAATATCTTATTGAAGCCCTTTCAGTCGAGATTCAAACTATGTTAAAAGTTTTGAATCAAATTCCCAGTGTCGGGAAAATTCAGTTTGAATTTTGTAATTTTTGGTCTAATTTCGAGCAAATAAGAGGAGTAAGCAGGTTCGTTTTGTTTCAACCAAAATTTTCAACGCAAATAACCATCGTAACATATCGTGATATATCGTACTAAAGCGTTTTCAGCCCTGATTAGACCGACATTAAAAAATTTTCAAAACGTTGTCTCGGTTGTGAGAAAAAAACAGTTTGAATTTTTGAGGTTTGGTCTTATTCGAGCAATTTAGCAACCGAGCAGGTTTATTATAAGTAAATTCTACCTTTAATTTTAGGTTAAGCTAATAAATGCAATGAGATTTTGCTCTAGTTTTTTCAGCGTTCTTTCTTTGAAATAGTAAATTTAGAAAACTCAAAACATTCTGTAAACAATAAAAAAGAAAAAAATATATGTTATTTTAAATTTTTTGCATTTTTTTGACCAAAATTGTTGCTCGATTTGCTTATTTTTTCTAACTGTCAAATATGCCTAATATCTAGCTTTCTGTCAGTTGAATTTATAACCCCGAATCGTAAAAAACAGCATTAAATTGAAACGTTAAAAAACATGAAAAACCGTTAAATGTATTTTTTTCAAAGTGCTAGGTTTTCGTCAATTCCATTTATAACCCCGACTTGCAAAAAACAACATTAACTTGAAGCGTTAAAAACATGAAAAAGAGTTTTATATATTTTTTCAAGAGTTATGTTCGGGCAAATAAGATGAGTGCTGACAAGGGTTTCAATCGAGGCGTTACTAGCCCAGTCACAGACAATTCTTGTTGTATGATGGGAAAACTCGAAGAATCGGGCCAACCAACACCAACCGCACATCGAATTTCCTTGACATAATTTTTTTAGCGTGATCGGACAAACATAAATTCTGTTTTGTTTTGCATGCGGAACAGACAGATCGTTGAGATAAAGTTGTCGTTGCAAAGAATTTAACATAAGGTTGGAAAAGTGTAATAGACAAGAATAAACGAAACAAAGTTTGATATTTTAGTTTTATGAAAAAATTTCCATTAAACTTTTTTTTGCGGTTGATTTACTAAACTCGTTTTGTAGAGCTAGAATGACACAAAAAGGCTTTACCACATTTCAAGGCATTTCATTAAATTTTTGATGGAATTTCTTTGATTGAGATTTAACACGTGTATATAGGAGAAAAAAAGCAGTTCATTGTTTCGTTTTAGTTACTTTGTCGAATTTCAATTGCAGAGTGCAAAGCATTCAATGTTCTATAAAACTGAATGAAAAACTATTGAAATTATATACTGATTTTTCTCGACACAAAAATAACTTGATAGACTTTTTTCAGCATCGATGAGATAAAGGCTTGCTATCTAGCAAGATTATTGAACGTTCTTGAACATGAGTTTTATTTTGTAAATTTAATGAGTTGAAGCTTATCCTGCAAGATTTTGTAAGATTGTGCTGACTTTGCAGAAATCTTGACAGATATTACCTAGTGATCTTGAAAAAACATCAGTCAAAATAAATTTCCATTAAAAGTATAATCTGATTCTGAGAAAAATTATTTAATGACTAGGGTAACAAAAAAAGCGGGTTTGGGTTCGGAGAAGTACCTGGGTTGAACATGGTGCGAAATTATTTTCCCATCTTCACGCGTCTTTTGAACTCTTTTGATGTGGAAAAACTTTCGGAGTGTGGTTATTTTACAATGTTATTTTGCAATGGTTATTTTGCTTATAACATTTGCAATAGTTTGCAATTGTAGCCTATATATAACAGTCGAAGTTAAATTTTTCCAGGGTAAATTTTTTTGATAACGTTTTAATCGAGAAGCGTATCTGAAGATCTGACAATATCATCCATTGCTACAAAACGTTATTAATTATCAAAAGAACTATTTTGTAGTCTTCTCAAAAATTTCGATTGGTTGCCTTAAACCTGAAACACTATGTTCACAACACAAGATTTCATCTTTTTCTGACCATATCTTAGATGCCAAAAACTGAAAATTGTTACCACTATTCAGGTTTCTTAATTAAATCAGTGATTAAACATTGTCTGGTTGAATTTTTAATTGCGCTTATTTTTCCAATTTTAGAGAATTTTTACTTTGAAATTTAGGTAGTGTGTGTACTAGTTAAATTGGGTGGTGTGATTATTTTATTTGGTCATTATCGGCGATCGAAGTACTGCTCTTTAAAAAAAATACAGAAAAATGACTATTTAAGCTTGATGTGATTTTTTTCAGTCAGTTTTTGGCAATCGTAATAATACTTTTTTTTATCAAAATTTTTTGCATTATTGAAAATATGGATTCTATTAATCAAGTTTAAAAAGGTATTTTATCTTCGATCATTTTTATAAAGTTTTGGGAGTTTGAAAATTTCCAATTTGGCCATGCTCTGGACTAGTTTATGTGGGCTTTTTAGATTTTATTCAAAACCCTGAAATCTTAATACAAACTATTTATGCGTGGTGAATCATCCACACAAAAGACATAATCCATAATCAATTGAAGCTAGCTAACCGGTCACATTAATTTCGTACGTCTCAAAAATTTTCACTTGATCTTTGATATTGTCCAAAGTTTATAGTTTTTCATTTTTTCTTTTCCCAAAAACTATTCGATATGGATTGAGGGGCAATCTGAATTTTCAGGACATTGCCCTGATAAACGGGCAGTCTTGTTTTTTTTGTTTAGACCAAAATCAACTGATCTTATTAACTATTCCCATAACATATTTTTCAGCGGAATGCTACAAACGTGCAAAATGTGAGGTGGAATAGATTGCCTTTTTCTTAAACGTTTTTGGTAACATCTAAAAAAAACTCATTTTTTCACTATTTGAATACCATCGATATTCTGAGCTCAATTTAATTTTTAAAAAATTGCCTGTTTTTAAAAAGAAAAATTTTCAGGATATAAAATTTGCCAGTTTTTGACAAATTGTTAAGGTTTGTTAAGCGCAAAATTGTTATTTGTCATTCGATGTGTAGCAAATGCCGCGAAAAAAATACTTTGGCTCAAAATAAATCTACATTAAAAGGAAGCATGCTAAATGATCTAAAAAATGTGCGTAAAGGTGTAAAATACGTCGCTTTGCAGTTTACATGGTGTAGGGAGGAAGATTGAAAATAAAAAATTACTTTTAAAAAAAATTTTAACACTCATTGGATCAAAGGATACATGAGACACCAAAAATAACAATAAAATTAATTAGATCATATTCTTTTACAAGCCGCTTTCTTTTGATGCTTTAAGCAAATCTCCTTAAGCAGTAAGTCAACCTTAAGCGGATCAAGTCTCTTTCGGAACAAATTAGGCAACAAAGTGGTTCTAAGCAATAGACCAAGCAAAAATGGACATATCGCCATTTTGATGAAAACAAAACTGGGATTGAAAATGAACTCCATAGAGATACAAAAAAATAAATTATGGCAGAAAGTTTTTGCCATTGATTATTTTTATATCTTGGAAGCTCAATTTCAATCAACTATTGTTTTCATCAATATTCGCCAGACCCTTCGGTGCCAATAAAAACTAATTGTAGGGGGATCGTTTTAGATACATCACAAAGTACCTAAAATGACTTCTTTGAGTAAAACTGATTGCGGCAGAAGAGAGTCTTTATTATTTTTTTTTGTAGACTGTGGAAAGGCAATTCGGTTGATCTACAAAAGGTCAACAAAATGTTCACAATAAACAAAATCCCCAAGCAACCCCTAGTAAAATCGTGAAAACTCAACTAGCTTAATTTTTAGCATTGTTTCTCAAAAATAGAAAACCGCACTAATAATCCATTCAACTAAAAAGATGCATTTCTGATAAACAGAATTTTGTGCATTTGAGAAAATAAGCAATCAATAAGCAAATGAATATCTTATTTTCATGCACGTAAATTGTGTTCAATCAGAACCCGAGCGACCTGTAATGGCTTAAGCCGAACACTTATTGCCGCATAAATTGTGAATTGTGTTAAAAATCTGATTTATTTAATGATTTTTTTTGTGCGTAATGATTTCTTACTTTTGACATAAATTATATTGTGTTTTGATTTTGAAGCTAGTCGATAAAATCTGTTATAAATGATTTTTTTAAATTGGAGAACGTTTGATTTCATTGACAAAAAAATTAGTTAACTCAAAACTAGAATCACTAAAAGTTTCACGATTTTGTATTTTTAATTTTATAATGCAGAAGAAACGATCTGAATAGTCTAAGAGTTGTCTTCCACAAACCTAATAAGGATCCTATCAATTTTTCATATTTGGCAAATTTTTCAAAGATGATCGTTTTTATAATACAAATTCTTAAATAATTGGAATTGATCAATGCATACATAAACATGCCAAACAACAAAATTGGCGTTTTGAGCGTTTTTGAAAATTTTGGATAATCTTTTTCAAAAATGCTCAATACATCTATTTCTTCTAAACATCTATTCATCTAAACATCTATTCGGAAAACAAACGGAAAACCAACTTTTGTTTTTCCAAGACTAAATCATGCACACAAACAAAAAAAGTATGCGCGCAAAAAAATCTGCACTTTTTCGGAAAATGTTTATTTGACTACAAAATTCGTTTTGAGGTTGAAGAAAAACCAAAAATTTTTTTTGGGGCCAATTCGAAACTACTTTAAAAATATGGAAACTATATGAATAGCATTTTTGACCTAAAAAATTTTTCTTATGCCAATACGAAAATATCATCCGATATCCTAAGGACACCTTTTTCTTATATGCCAAAATAAGAAAAAGGTCTTTGAAAATTCGATAACGTAGTGGTAGCAAAACGTATGAAGTTTGTATGACTAGTACTTTCCATACATTTAGTTTATGGAATTGTATGACTAGTATTTTTGGTCTATGGAGGTCAACCGGGAAGGTTAGAAGCAAAAATTATAACATTGATAATAATATAATAATAATTTGTTTTCAGGCTTATAACTGAAAATACAGAAGTTACTGTTCAACTTACAATTTATTTTAAAGACTGTGAGAACGCCATCGAACCATAAGGCCCGATTTCAAATGTCTCTGATTCGGAATTCATTCCGACTCACCGATTCTGAAGACAGCAGAGTGGTGATTGAAGGAGGAACAGTTTCGAACTCAAACACTGCCTCTGCATTCTTGCCAGAGTCCAAGTCCACGATCCGAAATGGAACTACTATTTCCTCCGACTCTAAAAACAAACTCTGAGTTCTAATCTAACGGGGAAATCCATTCATTGAAAGAGCCATGAAGGCTGATCTTCTTTATATTAGCCGATTAAGTCGGGGTATTCTATCTATTTTTAATAAATAAGAAAGACTATTTGATTTTGATTCGCTACGATATTCTTTTTAAGAAGAATACTTTGAAACAAAAATTGAAAAGTTAAAATTTGAGCCAACTACAGTGGCGTTTCGACCGAGTAACAAGGAGGCTTCTGCTCAAAAACCGTTCTAAATTTGACCAGCTTCGAGCGAATGTGAAGTTGTAATCCAATAGAATCTGACCAGCTTTTTTCGGGTTTTCTCAACTCTACAAATGAACATCATTCAATTTTTTTAGAGAGTATTGCTGAAATGAATACCTAAAAAATGTGTTTACCTTTGAATATTTAAAAAATGTGTTTACCTTTGAATTGCAAGGTTGTTTCTCCAACTATTGTGAACACAGGTGAGTTGTCATTCAGGTCCATGATTTCAGCTCTGACAGTTGCCAAGTCCTATAAAAATTGCGAAAGGGTCTACCAGATATTTCGATTCTTCAATAATTGGGTCATGCTAATGTGCTGCGAATTTCTTATGCTTTGATTTATATGATATGCATGAAAAACCAGGGAGGTATTTGGGATTTTTGTAAGGAGGCCCGATGTTTTTAAGTAGAAAAAAACGAATCTAATATTAATTGTATTTTTTTTGGGTCACAAGTCTTGATTTCAGCACAATCTCAAAACACTGAAAGGACTCGATTTTAACAAGTTTATTTGCACCGCACGCAAATTTAGAGAAGCTGTGCGAAAATTGCCGCATGATTAAAACTGAATAACAAATAAACGGTTTTACCATAGAACGAGGCTAAAATAACGAAACATTTTTTGAATTTTTTGGGATTTTTGCTCAGGATGAGTTTGCAAAAATTTCAAGTTAGTTGATCAAAAACACTAACCGGCGACGCTCTAGGTTGCGAGACTTGAACTATGACTTCCATTTGTGTGATCAACTCGTAGTCGAAGAACTGGGCTTGAATGGGATCATCCGATATCCTAAGGACACCTAGGGAAATTACATGCAATTGGAATTATCAAACAACAGATCACTGAATATCAAAGATAAAACACAACCAACAGAGAAATAAAAAGAGTTAATGAACGCAAGGGAAAAATAATGACTAGTTTTTTGAAAAAAAAATTGGAATTTCAAAAAAAAAATATGGCCTTAGAGCTTTTTGAGTTTCACGAAAACTTTATGATTGGCACTTTTCAGATAAAACTAAATCCTATGTGAGAACTCTGGGTCAATGAAAAAAGTTTTATTCTGCTGTGAAATAAGAAAAATAAGTTCCCTTTTCGAAACTAAAGCCGATCAAATTTTTCGTGGCCTTTTAATTTTCGCTGTTTGATAATAAAATTCAACTGAACTTAAAAAAATAAAAATCATTGCGACCTATCTAAAAGTCTGAACTACGTTTATATAAAAAAAGAGTCAAAATACATCATTTATTCAGATAACATTTCTAGTCTTATAAGGTAAAAAAAATGAGCATCGTATAAAATATGACAAAATTAATTCTGAGCTACCAATTTTTTTCATAAAATGTGCAATTTATTCTGTGAAAAGGAGCGTTTGAACCACGCAGTAGGTGTTTTCCATGTCGTTGTAAAGTTATTTTTCACTACTGGTTCGAAAGTCGGATAAAATTTTTCTGTGTCTATTTGTACCATGAAGTTCATACTCCAAGAAGTATTTTTTCTGATCTAGTTTCAAAGCAGAAGCAAACGAAGATTAAGATTCGAATGTTCAACAGTTTCAAACTCTCCTCTAGGTTTCCATCATTCTCGCAAACTCAGGTATTTTGAATTTAAAAAAAAAACAGATGCTGTTGTGATTAATATATTAAACATTATGTTGTAGTAAGGGAGGAAAGCGATTAGGGACTTTGCCCTAATTCAATCTCCCCTTCACAGAAAACTGGTAAAAAAAATGGTAAAATGGTATAATTAATTTTTCAAATTAATGGGGAATCATAAGAAAAAAAGAGCATTCAAATTCTTCTGAAAAACTAAAGTTGACTAACTAGAATTACAAGAATAAAAATAGAATGATTTGAATTAAAATTGATTCTTTTCTTTTCAACTAGAAAAATGCCGCGAAGTCCAATGGAATTCGAATAGACACAAACATGACAGGTATCTACTTAAGATTAAGATAGAAGGTCAAATTAAGATTACTAAAACACAATTCACAACAATAGGGATAATTTTAATAAAGAACAATAAGAAATTTCAGTCTATTTTCTGTCCCACCTGTAGTAGATCCCACTTGGAACACAGGGTAAACTTGGGATACTATTTCGTACTCCACTGGAAGGTCACGTGTGGACAAAGACGTGAGGGTCAGAATTTTGGCACCAGGGCCCATGTTCTAAAACAGACATCAGCTGAACTAATTTCGGCTAATTTGAATTTATGTCTCAAAAACGATTGTCAAGCTTTGTATCTAAGAAAAAAATCTTTAAGCAACGCTCAATCTAGATTCAAAATATTTTAAAAAAGAACATAATATCAAAAAAAATTGTAGGCTTAAAATAAAGTATGAATGGAGAGATTTCACCTACAAAATGGGGAGCTTTCAACAAAAATTCACATTTTACTTCAAAATCTTTTTTTTTGTTTTTCAGCATGCGAAAATGAAAAAGTTGAGTTTCGAGCTTGTGTACGCTAAAAAGGTATTTGGGTTATTTTCGAATTCGTGTTATTATCAACTTAAAAAGTATTTTCTCACCTCTGGCAGTGTGAGGTTAAATTGGGATTCTAAGAAGGTGGGTCCCCCTTCCACGAATGACTCTATCAGCACGAATACAGAAATCACACTCGCAAACTCCCCGTCAGATGCCCCCACCTGCAATTGAACAGACATTTATTTTGATCACCGACACTGATACATGCTCAACTGATTTTTTAACCTCTCCCATAGCGTTAAAAAGATCCTGTTCTGCCCAAATTTTCTGCGCCGCGTTTTTAGGCACTTTTCGGGAAATTTTGACCAAAAAGTTGCGTTTTTTGCCGCGCTCCCCCTCCTTCAAATTAGAATATATTGGCGTCAAAGGCGCCTTTAGATAAATTTTGAGTCAGTCACCTAAATTGGATAGCTCAAAATAGTACAAAAGGGGGACTCTTTGGGTCAGCAGGGGGTCGAATCCCTGAGCATATATCCGCCCCTACATGGTCTATTAAAAAGTCATGAGGTTTTAAGAGTCTGGAATGAGTTTTTAGACATTTCAAGTGGGCATTTTAACAGATATTTCAAATTAGGACTTTTTAAAATTGTGATAGAAGTTACAAAAAGATATTTCAACAGACAAAAAATTGAGCCATATGCTTTCAATTCGTTTCAAATTAACACATTTTGCTCAAAAATTAGGAAGAGAAAAATTGAGTGTTCGGTTAAGCGCCTCATAGTGATTCCTTTGCTTGCTAAGAAGTGGTGGTCGTTTGCTTGTTTCGCATTACATGATGAAAGGTTTCGAGGGGGGATGGGTTGAAAGTTTGGTTGAAAAACTTACAAAATATTCAATTTTCTGATCAATCAGCTCAGCAAACTCATCTGAACTCAAATCGACGTCCAATTTGATCTCCCCCGAAGTGGGGTCAATTTCGAGCAACCTTCTTTTCAAGTCCTCGTCACTTTCAGTTCCATTCATGAGGTCATAGTTGAATGAGTACTCTATGGAACTTGAGGAGTCTTCATCTATGGCCTGGACTGTGGCCACGATAGAGTCCATAAGAGTGTTGCTCGGGAATCGAACCGAGTAGAAGCGCTTTGTGAAAGTGGGACTGTTGTCATTTTCGTCTTGGATCTCAATTTCAATCTGCAGACACAAAAAATTTTTTGATGATTGAAAATTTTTGCACAAAAAACAAAAATTGCGCATCCTTTAAGCGAAATAAAACTTTCCTAACTTTAAACAAATCAGTGGTCAAAAAATATTAAATGGTCAAATGTACTTCTGCTGAAAAAAGTATATGGTTAGTTTTAGAAAAATTCAATTGTGTGAATTAATGAGATTTTAGTTTGTTTTCCGTTGAAAAAGGAAACGATCCGATTTGTGGAACGATCCAATATTTTTCTAATTTTTGATATAATTCTAACATACAATAAAAAGAACAAAAAACTGCGTTAAATCCAACAGCTCTTACTGAATAGAATGTCAATTTCGAAGGAGATAACTCCGCGTGCATTGCAACATCGATTACAATTCTCTCGTCGTCTGGTAAGAATTCTTTATCAATTGCCCTGATAGTCCACAGAATTCCCGAGTCTGTCAGCGAGAAAAACTCGGAAAACCGATCGAAATTACTGCTCACGAGTTCATACGACACAGAAACCGAGTCAGAATCCGAAGAACTCCGTTTGATTCTGTTATTATCAGGGTCAAAAACCGAAACAACGTCATTAAGATCGAAAACTTTCGCGACTGAATCCGAGTTTTCGGGTATTGTGATAACACTTCTGGAGGTATTTTCGGCTCTCGGAAGAACGTAACCTGTTGCGTCAATTTCAAACTTGACCTCTAATGAACTTTGAACTGTGAATTGACCATCGGTACAAACCACTCCCAAGGTCAAACTATCCCAGTTTTGCACATTATTTTTGGGAAAAATTTCGCCATTATTCAAATCAATTGAAAAATTTTCAGCAAAATTGCTTAATGAGTATTCAATTTTCCCCACTGAGTCATAACGGTTTATATCTCGGTCATCGCATATAACTCGGAAGTAGAAATAATTTTGACTCTGAAGGTAATAAGTTGTTTGAGGTAGATTTAAAATTTGCGGCAAATTATCATTTAAATTTTTAATTTTTAAACTAATTGTTACGTCCGTTGAAAGAGGAATCTCGCCGAAATCTTGAGCCCTGACAACCAATGTATAAAATGACTGCACCTCGTAATCCAATAGGCTAAGCAAAATCAAATCCGAATGGTCAATAGCAAACTTGCCTTGATCCGATTGGCTGAGGAGAATATACTCTATTTCACCGCCTAAACCGTCGTCTAAGTCCGTCGCGTTTAATCTGAAAATTAGAGAATCAATTTCAGAATTTTCTGGGATTTGAAGTTCGATTAAATCGGTGTTAAAAGTGGGTGCATTTTTGCTGCTGTCGATAACTTCAATAACAAATTGAAACTGTGTTATTTTGTCAGAAGGTGGAGTTATATCTAGCGCCTCGACTGTTATCGGAAAAATATTTTGAGGTCGAGTCTCTAGATTTTGGGCGACCAAAATCTCACCAGTTGTGCTTCTGATTGAAAAATAACTCGATCCTTCCGAGAAACTGTAGATTAGCCCATTAGCTCCGCTATCGACATCAAACGCTTCGATTGTTCCGACCACTTCGCCAATTGGCGCTGTTTCCGAGACTGAAATGTTCGTGAAATCACTTATAAACTCGGGTGCGTTGTCGTTAACGTCCGAAACGTGGACTAAAACCGAAGTTCTTGCAACATGAACGCCGTCGTTAACTTGAATCGTGAACGAATACTCGTTTTGCGTTTCAGCATCTAATTTTTGTGCGACTAGAATTCTCCCATTTGATTGATCAATCATAAACTTACTGACAGGTGTCACAAAAGCGTACGACAAATCAGCCGAGTCGTCAAGGTCAACAGCTTGGACTTGCACGACAAGCGACGGAGTCGCGAGGTCTTCGGGAATTGTAGCCTCGTACAAATCTTTCGGAAACGAAGGCAAATTATTATTGACATCAGTCAACTCTATTATAACTTCAACTATTGTACTTAAAGATGGTTCGCCAAAATCGTAAATTTCAATGGCTAAAACGAATTGAGGGTGAGTTATAATGTTGTTCGCATCCTGATCGCTTACAGTTATTACTCCCGAGTAGATCTCGATAGCGAAAGCCGAATCGAAATTACCGGCAACAATCCGAAAGCCCACAAGGTTATTCGGAACCGTCGCGTCGTCATCACTAGCCGAGATAATTCCCACTTGAAAACCGCGAGCCTGGAGTTCGGGAATTACAAAGCTGTACGAGTCGTTCGGGCTATTCGGGTACTTGTCGTTTAGATCTCGGATCTCGACTTCAATTTGCGAAGTCATGAAACTCGTGCCGTCTGAAACGATTGCTTCAAAAGTGAACGCATTCGTTTCTTCTCGGTCAATCAAATCAGTTGTGTGGATATCACCAGTCGTCGAATTTATGACGAAAGGAAAGAATTCAGAACTTTCTAGAAGGCTGAAGTCGAGGTCGATGCTATCGCCATCCGACGCAGTTAGTTTCCCGACGAGGGTCCCAGTCGGACTGTTCTCGTAAACCGCGAAGTGATACTCGGTCAAAGCGAAAACAGGGGCTTGGTCATTGCTGTCGGTCACTAGGATTTCGAGAACAGCCTCCCCCGAGAGGAAGGGAGAGGTCAAATCGGTTGCTATGACCACGAACTCGTAGCGCCCGCCTGATTTCTCGAAGTCAAGTACTCCAGAAAGCGTTACTTTGGCAGATTCGGAGTCAATTGAAAGCGGAATCTTAAACAAGAAAACATATAATTTTGAGAGCCAATAAATGAGCATATGAATAGATGAATGCATATAAAAAGCTTGAAAAAATTGATTGGTCGATGCTATTAACAAATTATTAACATAACAGTTTTATCAAAGTTTTAAATTGTTATTATCGTCAATGAGCTAGAAAATAGAAAAAAAAATTTTTTTTTCGTTTTTGCTGGTGTTTTCTGAATTAAAATACTGTTAATTACTTAAGTGTGAAATGAAAAATTCACTACGCTTCATCGCAAAAATTACACAAATGAAGTTCGAAGAAACGAAAAACCTAAAGAATTTAAGGGGAAATGTTGGGTTTAATTGGGTTCAAATTATTGGGGAAATCTTTTTTTTTGGGTTCAGGTAACAGTAAAAGAGCTGAACAGCTTGTATGTGGTTCCCTTCCCTCAAAGGATAAAATGTCTTAATAAATTGTCTTCATAAATTGTCATGATAAAACGTTTTGATAAATCGTCTTAAGAAATCGTCTTAAACTCACGGTCAAGTGGTTTAACAGAGAGTACTCCACTGGCAATCTGCTCACATCCGAATCCACCGCCCGAATCATTCCCGACTCAAATATGACAGAGCCCACTTCAGTGGCCTCGGAGACAGTAGTCGTGTACTTGTCCTGATCGAAGACAGGCGGCATGTCGTTCGTGTCCACTAATCGGATGATTACTTCGGCTGTCGAGATCAAGTCTAGTTTGTCCGGGTTAAATGCTATCACCTGGAATTTCACGGAAAAAAATCAGCTGTGATAACTAACAGTAAGAGAAGATCAAAACGGATACTTTTTCGATTTCTACTCGAGAACGCGTGAAATACTTTTTGAAATAAAATCCTAATTTTTTAAAATTGTTAATCATGGTGACGTCCCATTTGTACCAACGGTCATTTGTACCAAAATGAAAAATCGGTCCTATTTGTACCAAAATTATTCAACTCGATTTCTGATTGGTCGAATTGTGAGCCAACGAATTATTACATTAATTTTCTACTGTTCAAACAGAAGAAAACTTAGCAGCAGAATAGTGACCGCCGCAGTCGCGCCAGCGTGTTGCGAGCTTGCCAACAACACGCTGACACGCAGACTCTATACGAAAATTAGAGCCGGTTATTGCCGCGAAGCGGCGACGCGCGCGTAGCGCGCCCATAGGCGACCTTAAACCAAGAGCTTAAAGTAGTCGGATTAATAGTCTTAGGCCAATTGAATATTTTTGGTACTAACGCGATTGATTTTTGATTTTGGTACAAATGGGACTGATTTATCATTTTGGTACTTGTGAATACCCACCGTTAATCATCTCATTAGTCAAAGTGAGATGTTTGTATTTAGGTATCTATTGGTGTCACAAAGTAGACACGTCATAAAGTAGACTACAACTATATCAACAAATCAGAATCGAAATCCAGAAGCAAACTCAGGAAATAAATAAACATGAATTATTTATTTCCTAAGTTTACTTTCTGTTCTATTCTGATTGGTTAATATCTTAAGTGTCTCTTTTTTGACCGTTATGAAATATAGGCTGTCTACTTTTTAGCTGCCCTCCCCTATTGGCGGTGTACAAAATTAATAACATAACGCTTATTCTGAGACACCTGAAAACAGGTTAAAAATAGTCTTATAGCGCTCTCTCAAGTGATGTTTTTCAAGAACAACTCTTTATAACCAAATTTGTTTGCATAATTACATCAATTGGAAAAAAAATTTATTGTTATAATAGCAATTATTATAAATTTATAAACTCTCAATCGTTTAATTCGATGGTACATAATGTTAATTATTCAATGAACACAGAGAAATTCTAAGGCGAATTTAAAATCAAAGCGTCAAATAAGCACAAAATCGTTGCATAAAAATAACAAAACTGCTTGTATCACTTTACCACGTCTCGAATGAAAAATTAGCTAATGAATTATTGACAAATTATGAACTTTCAGCTGGTAATATCAATTTTCAAGCATTAAAACTTAAAGTTGCTAATAGAAGTAATCAGACCAATTGGCTTATCTTGAGTCAATTTGGAACAATTTTGTGGTGTTGGATAATTCTCCACGCGTACAAATTGCGCTTTACATTTTCTGCGTCAAATAAAAATCGAGCAATTTATTAAGACTGGTTACACAGCGCAATTTTTTCAGGTATATAACGTGAGGAGCGCAACGGTTTTGTGATCACGACGTTCAGAGGATCGATCCCCCGAGAGAAAAATTCCAAAATCTCCTGAAAAATAATCAAAATAAAAACCCGAGCAAATATCTTCATTAATTTCTCCAAAAACCGAAATGATGAATTGTTTATTTGAAAGTTCTCCCAAGGGAACAATTTTATCATTTTTTTGACGTACTATAAGCTTTTTTAAAACCAATCTGGCGAGTATTGACTCAAACATCATTTTTGTTCAATCTACCTCAACATTATTTTGAATTCATTGAGAAAAAAAAAACAATAAATTTTACCAATAATTTATTCATGAATTCAGCTGCATGCCTAATTATGTTCCAACAAGTCTTCGATGAAGGAGAGGAAACAGTAGAAGTGTTGGCTTCCTTCTGGTTTCAACCACTTTAACGCCAGTTTTTTGATAAAAATTTTTTCAGTTGAAGAAAAAAGCTTTCTTGTTTTCTTGAGAAAAACTATTGAACTTTTTTCATTATACTAGTTAAGTTTTTTTGTGGATAGTTAGCCCAAGTGAAAAACCACGATACTATGAAACAAAATTGAGCTGTTTTTTGCAATTTGTTTGTTTGTTTTGTTGGTGCAGTTCGTTTTTAGACGTTCCTTACTACTTTCATAGTGAATATCTATTTTTGTTATAAAAACAAAATGATGATAGAGTATACTCCAATGCAAAATGAAGATTCCCTCTGCAAAATTGAAATTGTTTTCTTTTTCTTTTTTGAACATAAACCTCGTCAAGGATCAGACAACAGGAAATTGAACTCAACAACAAAAAAATTCAAAAAATTAAGGCAAGGCTTTAGAATCCACCAGAAAAGCCTTGTTTTCTGTGTTTTGAGCAACACTTTTTGGAAACTAATACCCACATTGAGGTATATGTTGTGATAACTTTTCGATCATACGCAGTTGAAATAGATTAAAATGAAATTAGCTCAAATAATCACAAAAAATACCTGACACTCTATTTCACACTACTTGAGGTGATGATGATTTTAAAACAGTTGTAAAAAATTAAAAATTGGTGTCGTTGAGTCGGCAAACTTTCGAGCAAAAAACAAAACTCTACTACCTGGGCAAAACTTTGGTTAAAATAAAATTCTTCCAAGACTACTTGATGAACAAGTTGATAATTGACTAAAAATTGTAAGAATTAACCAGGAAAATAATTGAAACCAGAACTGCTTTTAAAAGTTCACTGCTAAATTTCTGTCTAACTCAAGAATATTTTACAACGTAAGATACATGTTGCTTCAATTTGGAATGAATTTTAGCGCGGATTAAGTCCACATGTAAGCGCTTAGAGTAATATGATAAAAAACATCGAAAATAAACACTTTCAATTTTTTTGTTTTTTCTAGACTCGCATCATTTCAAGGTCAGTGCTTTCGAAAAATATAACCGAGACAAAAAAAGCAAAAACTAGGGCAAGTAATTTCGCCATGCCTCCTTAAACTTAAAAGTGCTTATATCACACTAAATTTTCTGACTGTTCTTTAATGTGTTTCACGAAAAAAAAAAAGGTTATAAACTCGATGAAACCAAAAAAATTTTTCAGCTTATATTTCTTAAAAGCAATACTACTCTCAACTAAAATCAATCACAGGGTACTTTTCATTTAAAAAAAACTTTCCTATACTTACACCATGAAGTAATATCGATATACTTTACGTTTAATATACATCTATTTAAATCAATCAGCGTTTAAAGTGTCAATTAGAGTTCTCCATTTTAAGTTTATATAATTTTTGAATCGAATTAAAATGTCACAAACGATACGCGTGATAAGAAAACTGGTATTTTTTGCGCTTTCATTACCCCAAGTATAACATAAGGACCATTTTCAGACGTCTATATTGTTCCGCAAAAAAGTTCACGGATAATTTTTTCGTTTTGAGCCTAAGGCATTTATATTTTCTAGGCTGTATAAACAAGTTCGTTAGAATTCATTCAAGAGGAATAAAAAATAAATCCATCCCAAAACCATCCCATAAACAAACGTTTCATTATTCTATTATAAAGTCTTTTGGAGAAAGCGTCTTAAAAAATTTTTCCATAACGAATTTTTTTATGATAAAACCAAACTAATGTGGGAAAAATGGATCAGAAGGTATTTTTTTCGGCTGGGAGAAATTATTAAACTAAAATATTTTTTGGAAATTGAAAGCAAATAACGTTTTTAGGCTATTTGAACTTATCTTACTGTAAGGCATAGTTTGCCTTCCACTCAGCAAATGAAGTTAGAGTGAAATTAAAAAGAATTGAAATAAAAAAACATGAAAAATCAAATTTGGGTTTGATCGCCTAGTGAAAAATTTTCCTAAAAAACTAGATGAAAAAAATGTAGGCGATTAGAATGAAGATACTCAATATGGTCATTGGTACTTAAAAATATACAAGAACTTCAGTCTAAATGGTAATTTCAATTGTTAAAAATGGTCTGAAAAAAATTCTTTTCGAGCATATTTTTTACTTTCAAAAGTCAGAACACTTACTTCAATTGAAACGTTTTGCATTAGCTCGGCATCCAGATTTGCTATCACTGATATTGCACCAGAACTGAAACAGAAACCATGTCAGAGCATAAACATTTTCTTAAAATGCTCATGAATAAAAACTTTTTTAAGTCACTCTTTAGATTAAAAAAAAGTTACAAATGTTTAGATTTTGGTGCAAGGTATGATAATAAGTGCGTTTAAAATAATTCATGCGATAAACCAGGGGGCGGATCTAGGATTTTCTTGGGGGGGATTTAAAAAAAAACGAAATTATGTCCTACTTTATTAGGTCGAACAAAATTGATTCTCCGAGCTCTCCCAAAGCACGGAAAAGTGCCTGTTTTAGCCAATATTTCCGCGCCGCACGCAAAATTTTTGAAAAAACAAGCCAAAAAGGCGTTTTTAGGCACTTTTTGGAAAATTTTTACAAAAAAAATTGCGTTTTTTCGGTGCGCGCTCCCCCTTAAAATTACAACATTTTAGGAAGTTTTTAGGGTCCGTCAGCCAAAAATGGATATCTCAAATTAGTTTAAAGGGGGATCCTTTGGGTCGGCAGGGGGTCGAATCCCTGAGGGAAAGAGGGCGTCCGCCCCCTCCTAAATCCGCCCCTGTGATAACCATACTGAACTTCATAACTTTGTGAGACTATAACACTGTTATCAACAAATTACAATCAAATGCTGTGTGTGTGCGTGTCGGTGGGGGGGGGGGGGGGGGGTTGCAATAGAGCCATTGTGACTTACGCGGTGTCAATTTTGAACCAGGCTGCGTCACTGCTTGCGATGGCGTAGAACACAGTCCTGTATTGAGCACTGTCGTCCCCATCCGAGGCAGACACCACCTGGACAACCGTCCCCTCCCCCACACTTTCCAGCACAGAGGAAGTGTACACCGGCTGGGAGAAGAGGGGGGAAAGGTCATTCACGTCCTGCAAAACACGGGCAGAAATTTAATATAAACTAATATAGAAACCAAGTTTACCAAGTAAACTCCTCCACTTCCTTATTTAATTTGATATAAAACTGTAAAATTGATTAGCGTTGCGCTTAAAGATCAATGCTATCAATTTTTGAAAGTGATTTAGAGCGCACCAAAAAATCAGATCATATTGGCGGCCAAATGCACCTTAAGAAGATTTTAGCGTTGGTCAGTCAGATATTGCGTCTTTAAATAGTACAAAAAGGGAGCCCCTTGGAAAAATCTAGCAACCAAAACTCAAAATTAAGTTTTTTTTCCTCGAATTGAAAACACTACTGGTGTTAGAATGAAGGCTATGATGAGCATGCAAGCTAGATATGATGCATCTAATTGATAAATTAATCTGCAATTGTATTTTCTAAAATATTCAAGATCAGACCTAACTTGCATGCTCTTCATAAGACTCACATTCAGGTATAGGTTTTTGGCGCACCACAAATTGCACGACGAAATTCTGTTTTATCTTCAAGAAATCTTATTAAACAATTGAAGATTGTCGGGAATTAACAGGGGCGTTTTTAGGGGGGCTATCAGACATCACTCAAAACGGGCAATTTTTCATTAAGTTGCAGAAAAAACGCTAAATTAAAACAGTTTTTCCAGAAGCTGACTTGTTCAACTTTACTAGTGGTAACTTCACCACTAGGTGCGCCCATGATAACAGTTCATAGGTTACGCGCTCAAGTAGATTTAAGTACATCAGTAACTCTCTTACAATTTGATTGGACAACAGTGTTAGGAAAAGTACATTTATTAAATTACTCTAATCTCAACCCAGTTCTGTTTCTAACCTTCCGAGTTTAAAAGAAGATCTCCTCATTGTTTTCTTCAACCATCCTTAATAATCTTGGCGCCGGTTTTTGTAAGTTTTCCATGTCTCTTGCTTCTGCAGGGTATAAGAAACAATTAACTGCACAGTAGAATGTCCACAATCTTAAGCAGATGTCCCGAATGTCCTCCTCAAACTTGGTTTCTCAGCTAACATGCCAAAGAAGTCTCCATATTCCAAAAATTTTGGTCAGAGAAAATGGAGCAAGTCCGCCGGCTTTTCGAATCGAATCAATCGCCCATGATTTGAAATCGCCCATGATTTGGAATCGCCCATGATTTGGAATCGCCCATGATTTGGAATCGCCCATGATTTGGAATCGCCCATGATTTGGAATCGCCCATGATTTTGGAATGCATCAGGTCAAATTGTTTCATTGAAGTGATAAAAACAAATACAATGATACGCGAAACCTTCAACTACTCATGATTGCATGCATATCTAGAAAGCTATATGGTCACTGGAGCGAAGTTCAGTGCGTTCATTTCTCCGATTCTATTTTGCTGATGGCGTTTCATTTTGTAAAAAGCCATTACTACCTTTCCTTTTCCTTGCCCATAAAATTGAACCAGAATTAGTATTAGAAGCATCGCATAATGAGCAAATTGAATTTGCGTTTTAGGGTGGGGGTAGTTTACTAGGTGCATCCGGAGGGGGGGGGGGACAACAGGGAGGAGGGGAGGGGAGGGGAGGTCGTTCACATGGCTATACATGGCAATGGCTTATTACAGTTCCAATATCGGAAAAGATGCAGAAGATAATTACAGATCACTTGTTACACTACGCTGGCGCCTGTTTACCTGGACGTGGATGGTGACAGATGCTTCGGAGTGTACGAGACTCGTTCGGGAGTACCCGACCAAGTTTGCAGCGATGACCTGAAATTGATATTATATAGTTTGAATGATACTTTTTTCACCAGAATGATCTACTTTTATCCGTTCGGACTAGTCGCATTATTACAAATCAAGAGTAATGAGTAATACTAGCCAGGGTAATTGGGCTTTCCCTTTGTTCATCAAACGATGAATGTGTTGGTGATATTTTACGACGTAGAGAAGAATACAGAAGTGAAGACAACATAAGCATCAAGCATTATCATATGATAAAGCAAGACTAGTCATAGCTGCCTTGCAAGTAGCACACAACGACCGGAACCACGTTGCTGAGTCAAAGGTAAAATAAAATAAAATAAAAACAGAATTTTAGGTTCAATTTTTTTCCATTTTTTAGGGAGGGGCAAACATGAATGAACGCAGTCTTCCAAATATAGACTAAAGTAGCTTACAAACAGAAACACGTTTTTTATAGATGCATTAGGTAGCGAAGAGTGTCACAAACTCGACTTCTGGGAAAACTTCTCGATTCAAAGAAAATTTTTTCTTGGAAAACTCTTGTTATCGATCGAGTCATGACTGTCCCGGGTCGAGGTCGGGGACCTATGATGCAAACATTGCGACTCAAAAAGAGTATGTTGCGACCATTGCGACCCAAAAAAGGTATGTCGCGACTATTGCGACTCAAAATGGGTATGTTGCAACTAAGCGCGACGGAAATGTTTCAGCGACTTTGTCACACCCAAAAAAAAACATTTTGCAAATTTGCGCAACTTAAAATTAAATGTTGCAAATTTTCACGAGCAAAGTGATTTGCGCAACCAAAATGATTTGTGCGACTTTGCATATGTATTTTCTACCGACTAAACTCAGTCTCAATATTTTTCGACTGACCCAACCCACGGTGTCTATCCCGGCCGAGGTTTCGACTATATATGTTTCTGGATATGTATGTATGAATGTATGTTTGTATGTGTAACTATGTTAGCATGTATGTTTGTATGTATTTCAGCAGTTTTTTTGGTAACAATTATTTTTTTTGATGACTCAAAAACTTAGTTTTTACGTTGGGACCATGTGTAGGCCTTCTTGTGGCGGTCCTAAATACGATCAGCAGATAACTGCACATTAAAAATACATATATACTAGATTATTTTGCAATCTGCATCTGTATTATGCTTATGCAACCAAAAAAAATCCGACAGCAATTCCATTACCTCAACTGCTCGAAACTTTTTTTTAATGCGCAACTCATATTGCGACTTTGCACGACCCACGTTGCCATTAATGTTTTGCGCAACTCATGTTGCAACTTTGCGCTAAACATTTTGTTTGACTCTGCGCGATCCATGTTGCGACTTTGTTCGACTCATCTGGCGACTTGCGCGACCCATGTTGCGACTTTGCACGACTCAAGCATCTTGCAGGAGTATGGAATTTCGGTCACAGAAAATCCATTTCAGCGACCCATTTCGGTCGCAACATGAGTCGCAGACCTCGGCCCGGGTGGATTGTTACAGCAGCTCTGATATACTATATATCATGGAATCCCATCCGAAGTTTTTTGCGGTACCTGATTTAGGGTGGAAAAAAGTACTCCTTTCGTTTTTCTCTTTTCTGTGGTCGAAACAAAAATTTTACCATGAATGTCACTGATGAAACTTCTTCCCTGTCGAATGACCTCAAAAGCGATAGTTGACCTCCAGTGGAATTTATTGTGACGTAATCAAAGAGGTTTTCAAAAGAAGAGTCGTTTTTCAAACTATAGACCACCTCGCTGTTTGCTCCTTGATCCATATCTGATGCCTAAAACACCAGATGGTAACAATTGATGAAAAACTGCCAAGCAACGTATACGTTATACTTTTTACAAGGGACAACTTTTTTGTGGAGCATATTTTTTTGACAAAATTTAAGAAAGACATTACTAATTGCTCTGTTTCAGGTACTCAGCGATATCTACCTTCAGCGATATCTTCAGCTAATCAGTCACTTTTTTCTTCAAAAAGTGCCTAAAACATTTTTAGGGCCTGTGATTTCAAAAAGTAGCATCGACACAAAAAGTTAGTCTTGATAGTGATTTGTGAAAAATTTGAAAATCAATTCGGTGTCGACCAAAAAAAATATCGACAAAAACCAGTTCGATGTCGACGACGTAAAAAAAGATCGACAAATTTTTCTTGAAATAGCGTAGAAAATCAATTCGTTTCCGACTTTAAAAAAAAACAGCTTGAAAAATTATTTCCGAGTAAAAAAAAAGACTATTCTTTTTGAAAATATTTCCGCTCTCGAGAAAAACGTAAGTCTGCCCTGCGTTCGTTTATACATGAAATTTTTCTTCCAAACTTAGAAATAAACAATTCTTACAAAAACAGTGAGGAAATCTTCGGCAACAACGTTTTCCAGAATGGACGCCGAGTAACTTGTCTTTGCAAATCGGGGCCCATTGTCGTTTATATCCACGACAGTCACCGAGACCTTAGCATTCGTAGACCTCGGTGACGTCACTGCTTGATCTTGTGCCTTCACAACTATGACGTAATCTTCAATCAGCTCTCGATCTAGAACATTCTTTGTCGTTATTGTTCCGTCCTCGGAATTAACCGAAAACGCGGATGTTCCGACAATCGAGTATACAATTTCTCCGTTAAAAGCCGAATCAAGGTCCGAAGCTTCGATTCTTCCGACAAAGGATCCAATTGGTTGTTCCTCGTCGACGGAAAACGAGTACTCTGATTGGCTAAAAATGGCACTGTTGTCGTTGGCGTCGGCAACAGTGACAACCACTTCGGTTTCGGCTTCGATTTGGGCATTTCCGTCGTTGGCAAATACACGAAAGGAGTAGGAATCTTTCACTTCTCGATCGAGTGTGCTTGCGAGTGACAAAACTGCCTCGCTAAAAGGTAGAGAAGCTTACCATTTTTCAAAGAATCAAGTTAAATCAGGGGCGGATTTAGGCGGGGGGGGGCGGGGGGGGCGGACGCTCCCTTCCCCCCCCCCCCCTCTCAGGGATTCGACCCCCTGCCGACCAAAAGGGTCCCCCCTTTGATACTTTTTCAGAAATCCATTTTTGGCCGACCGACCCTAAAGTTTTTCTAAAGGCGCCTACGGCGCCAATATATACTAACTTTGAGGGAGAGCGCGCGCCCAAAAAAACGCGATTTTTTTGTCAAAATTTTTCAAAAAGTGCCCAAAAACGGCTTTTTTGACTGTTTTTTCAAAAATTTGCCTGCCGCGCAGAAAATTTAGCCAAAATAGGGGCAAAACAGTGCTTAGGGAGAGCTCGAAAAATCAATTTGGTCGACCTAAAAAAAAAAAAGTCGTCAAAAAAGTCGTCAAAAAGTCGTCAAAAAAAGTCGTCAAAAAAGTCGTCAAAAAAAAGTCTTTTTTGAGGTCATCAGCTTTATTATATTTCTGGCTTACTGCAGTTCACTCTGTATTTTTTTCTGTGAAATTTTTCTGAATTATGTCACGAGTTTTAGTTATTTATTTTCGCATATGTTTGCAATAAAGAATTAATAAATTTAATTCAATCCTCTTCATGTAAACTCTTGAGAAGTTTTTGTTCATTCGTTTCTTTCAGATGGATACTTTTAAAACAAAATTTTTTGATTTATTGGTTTTTGACCTTCTTTGTGAACTTGAACTCATTTTCTGTCAATCTTCTTTGACATGAGTATGTCACTTGAAGCTTTTTTTCTAGTTCTAATGTTTGTAAACTTGTAAAAAAACTAGATTATTTGTTGATGTTTTGGCTTTCAACCAAGCTATGAATTTTAAACTTTTATTTTGTGAATGTGACCTTTGGACCTTCTGTTTAAAGGTAAACTCACTTGTCAAACACAGAGATGGAGAATGAATCCGAGTCTGGGAACTGGTCTGCCTTCAAGTAATACACTATGTCATCCCCGTCTCCGTCTACCGCCTGAAATTGGAGAGTAGTTAATTCAGTCGAAGTTTAAGCAAACCGAAAACGCGCGGAGTAAATAAGCCAGCCAAAAAGTTACATAGTATGCATGAATTTGCATAACTTTCGTAACTAACACATAATTGTTACATAACTATTATATAACATTTACGTATTTTCGGCTGGTTGATACTTCTGCTGGTTTATACACCACCTGAAATTGTTGAGATGGTTTCCTAAAGAAACAAGACTAGCCGGATATGCTGTGCGAAAGCATCGAAAGTTCCAAGCCCAAGACGGTAGCAGTTTTGAAATAAATTTTGCGGACTATTCTATTACAAAATCATAAAAAATATTTTGGAAACAAACTTCTCTTTGGGGGTAGGGGCTAATTTATATATCCTGGTGTTATTCAACAGCCTAACGAGCGTAGTATACTATAATGTTATATTATAATAAATTTACTGCATTTTACATAATAGAAGTTTCAGGAAAGACCAAACGCATCAGCTCTTCGCTTTTTGCTCTAAATGAGTCAAAAAGTAAAACGTTCGACTGGTTTTTGCTGGTCACAATTTTTTTTGAAAACTCATAAGATTTTTGGTGAAAAACAAACCAAAAACTAATCATTTTTAGCACTTTAGTGCTCAGAATATTTTATTTTTTTCTTTCAAGGTTTTTTTTTCTATTCAATGCAAACAGAAAAGAACTTCGGAATCTGGTGATTTTTCCCAGGTATCCCAAAAAAAGGGTAAAAATTGTCTGCGGTGGAAACAGAAAAGTTTATTTCATGTACCATCATGGGCAGATCTGGGATTTTCTCTAAGAATCTATTCTTAGAGTCACGAGCACTCATTTTAAGGGAGAGAATATATGATCTGACTAAGTTTGAACTTTGGTTTTTTTGTGGAAGCAAAATTCTGAAGCATTTTTTTTCTTTAACTGAGACAGTAGCGACAAACAAACAAAATAAACCTCAGGGGTGCAAAATAGAACTCATTGCTGGCATAACTGAGCCAATTTTTTTTCTCTTTACGTTTAGCAGCGAAATCAAAACCTTATTTTTGAAAAAGTTTTGAGAGGCGGGTTTTCGACTTTTATTTCAAAAATGTTGTCCACCATTCTTTATGTCGACCAAAATAGTTTTCCCAGTTCTCCTAAATAACTATAAAAACCTTATTGTAACCAAAATTCCAGCGCATATTTTGACCAAACTTCCCGTGCTAAAAAGACTTCATTTTGACCAAATTTTTGGCCTATTATTTTGACCAAAAAACAAGCCAAGGATGCCATTTTTGGGCGTTTTAGAAAAACTTAAGGTTTGTAGGCTAAAAAATGGATGTCGAAAAAATAACACCAAAAGAGGGACTTTGGTTGGCAAGGGGTTCGAATCCCTGAGAAGGGGCGTTCGGCACCTACCCCGCCTAATTACAACCCTGTGTATCATGATATTCTTCATACATTCGGACTATAGCCAAACTAAGTATTGTAAAAACATATTAGAACTCATGGCTTTTCGTTTTTAAGGTAGAATCACTTTTTTGTTACTTTTACTGTAAAGTCAACAAAATTTTTGCAGAAACTATCCGCTGCTGAAGAAGGTCTTTTATTGTATCAAATACATTGAATGTAAACTAAGGTAACATAATAGGTCAACGACAGAAAACTTGATGCTTTCTCGACGTTATAAACACTTAATTTAAGAAGAATATAAAATTTAACTCATTTGTCTAATTTGGGTTTTTTTGCTTGTAACTGTTTTTGCAAGTTACTGGAATTTTTTTGCCCAAGCCTCGAGAAAAGTGATAAGTGAAAAAAGCTGGAAAAGGACCGGAACAGACTTCAATGGAAAAAAATTGACCTAAGTTTGCTTTCATTTTAGTTTTAAGCGAAGTTAATTGAAAAAAATTTTTGAAAATTTTAACAGTGGCTAAAAGCGTTTTTTTATGCAATAATTTGAATCTTAAATTGATTCACGGAGTTAGCAGCAGATTACCAAGATTGCTTCCGCCAAAAAAGTTTTTTCCTACTATTCTTAATGTTAAAAGCATTGATTTTAAGGAACCTATGATCGGGCTGAGCTTGAAATCTTGATTTTCTTCGTGTAAGCAAGTTTTTTTTCAATATTCCGAAGCATTTTTTTCACAAACTGAGACATTAGTGACAAACAATTGAAGTAAGCCTCAAATACGCTTAACAGAAGTCATTTGTGGCAAAATTGCACCAAAATTGCGTTGCTAAGGATTTTGGCAGACTTTTTTTTTAGCAGACCAACCTTTTGGCGGGCTCAGAACAATTAGCAAGTCACAACGCTAACCTCAAACCCGGCAATGATGATTAGTGACCGCTTGCTCCGCTGCGCTTTCATTCGGCACTTGTTATTGTGTGCGTAATAGTTTGTTTTGCCGCTAATTATACTATTAAAGTTTTTGAAGTTGTTATTTCTGCTGACAAGTTTTGAGGATTGACCCAAGGCTGAGCGTTTTTTCAAGTCTGTCAATCAATCATGCATCACTTTCACAAGACTAATTTTTCACTATTTTTGAAAAAAGATTGGTCTGCTAAGCAATCTGTCTCACAATTTTGCGTTTTTGCCTTATGCTCAGCTGTAAAATTATTTTTACCAGCTAGTTAAAGGTTCTTTTTTCAAAAAATTTAAACGAAATAAAACAACAACAAGAGTATGAACTTATTGAGAAAAGCAGAAAACGTTTTCTTGAAAAATTGATACTGATCTTAGGACCCAATTCACTCATTTTAGAGAATTGTGGATATTGTTTTTCAAAAATCAACTAAATGTTAACTCATAAATTATTCACAGTAATCAAAATTAGAGATCCGCTAGACCTCATGTTTGCAAAAAATCTTAGCATTAAAGATGCTCAAAATTAGCTATTTTTTGGATAACTTATGAAAAATTCACTATCGAGAAGTAGCTTCTTTTTCTAACGCAGGTTTCAATCATTCTAGTAGCTTAATATTTTTCAAAGTGTAAAAACCCATCTTTGAAAGTTTGTTATTATCCAAAAGCATCAAAAAAAAGATATTTTTTGCGTACGATTAAGTCAATTGAATTTTTGAATTTTGAAGATTTTGTATTTCCGTGTTTTAAAAGTAGTATAGAAGTGTCGTCAGTGAGGTGGCTCAGTCTCCTCCTTTTTTCGGAAGGTCGAAAGGTTAGTGGTGTGGCACCCACCAATATCTATCTAGTCAGAAGAGCTTCTACGAAGCTACTACTTTCGTTTTGGTCTTTTTTCTTGTAGATAAATTGTTTTCATTAATTACAAATTACTACATCTATTTCGTAATATAAAGAATCTCGTGGAAAACAGTGTTCTCGAGGAAGAATCTCGTTTGCGACAATTTTTGTGAAGACATATGTGAAGTAATTACATCTCATTTTGACTTGTAAGCATATACGTTTCAATCAAATCCATGAATTGTCTTTAAGACTTGTTATTGTTTTCCGGAAATGAAACAAGATTGCTCGTATCAGCGCAAGACCCTGAATGTTCCGACTGCATTTTAACGCCAATGTTTTTTGGCTAAAAAATTGACAAAATAATCTAAAAAAGTTTCTTTTCTCTTTTTTTATATCCCCCTAAACGCTAATGTAAGACTAGATAGGGATGTATTTAACGTCTTGTATCCAATAATAATAGGACCAAATTACTAGCCTCAAATGAATTTGGAACGCGTGTTCTAAGAACTCGTGTTCTTACGCGTGTTCTAAGAACGCAAAACATAGCGCGTCAGTAAATCAAAATTTTCCAAATTAGCAAGTTTTACACCCCCTAAAACTTCTTAAAAACTGATCACAGATGAAATAGTTTTTATAAAATTTGAGTTCTTCGAAAGTTTTCGAAACAATAATGTGTTGATTTTGACTCATTGTTAAGCTGACTTTCAAAAAAAAATGCGGAATACTTATGCTTGGGGTTGTTAATTTATTCAGTAAACTTTCACGATCGAAATAATTAAGTTTTTTAAAAAATGTTCATTAAATCAATAAAGATATCGACTTCTTGGCTTCAAATGTAAAAAGATATTATGCCACCGATTATTGTTTGCAAGGTTCTGGGGGTCTGAAAATTACCCACTTGGCAAGGCTCTTAACCATTTATTTCGCGCGATAAAGACTTTTATTATGATGCCGAAAACATATAGCGATTTTTTCATGGGCGGCAAAATATCCCGCACAACAAAATCGTTTCAAATTGAATTGACGCAAGCTTATTGGTTGCTTTTAAAAATTGCATTCGTGATAATGTCCAACACTTCTGGTTTTGAACTATATTCTATACCAACAACTGTTTTATACCGATTAAGGGGCAGTCGGAACATTCAGGGATCCGCCCTGATATACGAGCAGTCTTGCTGGTTTTTGATAATTGCTTCTAACATAACTCTATTTGCTAGCTATTTTTAGAGTCGTCAGAGAAAACATAACATTTCGCGCAAAATTTAAAACTCAAATGAAATATTAAAACATCCAAATTAATCAAAGAAATATTAAAGCTCCATTGCAATTGTCTCAAGTGATTTTGTTTTTTTTCTAAAGAAAAATTTTTCAACCCTAAAACCAAAAAAAAACTTAAAAAATTAAACTTGTCCTGGAAATCATGTAGAATTTATGGCTATTTTATCAAATCTGACAAAAAATTGAAAAAAGTATAAATTTGTACAGAAAATTTAAGTGCCCCGAAAGTGTAACTTTTCTATATTTAACTAACTACACATGAAACACGTGAAGTACAAAAATGGTTGGTTGTCAATTGCTTTAATTGATTATTTGACTTTTTAAAGAGTATTTTTTATCAGTTTTTCACATATAATTTTGAGCATGTAATCTTAAGAAAGGTCATTTTGTCGAATTGTCGAATTAATACCTTACTAAAGATTACATGCTCAAAATATAAGTAAGAAAATTGATAAAAAATACTGTTTAAAAAGTCAAATAATTTTTAAAAAGTCATAAAACGTATTTTATTTACCGGATCATTTTTCTCTTTAACAGAAAATCAGTTATTTTAAAATAGAAACACGTATGGAACGTACGACAATGTTTCCCACGGTGGCTCCTTCTTCTCGGCTCTCGGACACAGTGAATTGGTAGAGTTGTCGCACAAACTGGGGTGCATTGTCGTTCACACGACTGATGCCTACTGTCACCTCCACAGAAGAAGACCTGCAACGGAAGATCAAAAAAAAACAATCGGCAGCAGAATAAGTTCGTGCTGCACTACAAAAACTAAAGAACTTCGAACTTTAAAAGAAACGAATAATGTTTAATAACAGATTAACTTTCAAACTGGCTAGACATGTTTTAAATCTTGTTAACTACCGCCCCCCCCCCACCCCTTATTGCAATAGAGGGGGAAATAGTTAACAAGGTACAAGTTTCGTACAAGCTTAACTGTTCAATTCTTTCTTTATATGGGGTGGGGGGTGGGGGGATTCGTTACAAGGTACTATAAAGGGGGGGGGGGTTATTTAACAAGATCCCATGTTTTTTATGTGAATAATTAACCCACTTTATTAGATTGCATTGGGTCTGCCTTATAAGATATAAAAAACCAGCCTCTTTTAAATTTGCCGCTTCTAAAAATTTGCGACACCTTCATTAAAACTTTCGCTGCTAGAACTTTTCATGCTGCTAGTCGTAATTCCGAACGGTTTAAACGTCATTATTTTAAAATATGAAAAACTACCAAAAAAATCTGCTAGCCGTGAAAAAGTTTCAAATAGCAAGGCTAAGTTGATTTAGGTTACGTAACAGTATTTAGACAACCGCGTATTCACACACTGTATTAACCAATCAGAATCGAGACAAGGAAGATATGAAATTCATTTTTTCCTTGTCTCGATTCTGATTGGATAATACAGTGTCTGAATAATACGCGGTTGTCTGAATACAGACCGCACTCCGTTGATTTAAGCTTCTGCATATTTTCTGCCTGAAAACATTTTTTATTATTACTATGGTGAATGACAAGGAGACGGGTATGATCCAGACATTGAACTTAAAAACAAGCTAAAGAAACAAATTGAGGCATTTTTGGAGGTATTTGAAGAATTTTTTCCCAACTTGCTTGCCCTTAAACCGAACGAAAATAAGACGAAGTGCTGTAACAAATTGTGATTCAATATTCGGCTAATAATTTTCTTCTAATTTGGTGCCTTGAATTTGCTTTGTTTTCTTTAATGTATCTCATATAATTGTCTACTAAAATCCTTGACTGGATCAGACCCAGGGGCGGATCTAGGATTTTCTCGAGGGGGGGGGGGGATTTTCACAAAATTTTCCAAAATTTTGACGACCTTTTTTTTTTTTAGGTCGACCAAATTTATTTTTCGAGCTCTCCCAAAGCACTGTTTTGCCCCTATTTTGGCTAAATTTTCTGCGCCGCAGGCAAATTTTTGAAAAAACAGTCAAAAAAGCCGTTTTTGGGCACTTCTTGAAAAATTTTTATCAAAAAAATCGCGTTTTTTTTGGCGCGCGCTCCCCCTTAAGGTTAGTATATATTGGCGCCAAAGGCGCCTTTAGAAAAATTTTAGATTCGGTCGGCCAAAAATGGATTTCTGATAAAGTATCAAAGGGGGGACCCTTTGTGTCGGCAGGGGGTCGAATCCCTGAGGGGAGAGGAAGCGTCCGCCCCCCCGCCCCTCCCCCCTAAATCCGCCCCTGATCAGACCCCTCCCCTTGTGATTCACCATTAATATTATTTAGCTGACCTCTGCTGTTGGTTTTGAGGCTGATCTGAGGCCACAATTATCAACTGGTAAGATGACCCCTGGAACGAACTGGGCACTGGCTGTAATAGAGTGAGTTGCCCCTCCCCTTCGACGGAGAAAAGTGCGTCTCCGTTGTCAGACACGTAACTGATACTGTACGATACTTCACCGTTGGAACCCTCGTCTGCATCACTCGCCGATATCTGCAAGACAAATTTAATTAATATTACGAAGAATGACAAAACTGTCAAAAATTATTATTCGCCCCCATTTCTCCTCTGCGAAAATTCTAAACTCGACATTACATTTCAATTTTTGTAGAGAGCGTGATGTCATTATACGCTTTCAAACATTTCATGGTTTTACAAATAAACGGTTCAAACAATATGTTTGTCGAGAAAAAAGGTCAAAACTTTTGATGTCATGCTCAGATTATACCAGGGCCCAGCTTATTTGGCCCAATGATTTTTCTGTCAAGAGAAATGAAAAGAAAAAGCAATTTCGCACAGAAGAAAGCGAATGAGGTTTTAAAACAATTTTTGAAGAATTTTTTGAATATATGATTTTGCAACAAAAAATATGCCGAAGCCTTCTGATCTACATGCTTAACAATGATTAGTCCTTATTTAAAGATAAGTTTCCTTTTAGAAAATATTGTAGTAGAAATATACAAAAATAATGTAGAAATATTATAATTGAAGTCGATGACTCACAGTTCCAAGTGCAGCGGGTGTCTGGGTGTTTTCGGCTATGGAGAAGGAGTAGGTGGTCTGGGAGAACACGGGACCATTGTCGTTAACATCCTCGACTGTCACTCTCACTGTCGATTCCTCACTCGTGATTGACGGGTCAACCACCGAACGAGCCAGCACCTGGAGTGAAACACAGATCGCAACAGGGGCGGATTTAGGGGGGGGGGGGTCAAAACAGCGTCTTTTTAGTGCTTTAGGAGAGCTCAAAAAACTAATTTGGTCCGACCTAAAAAAAAAAGTCGTCAAATTTTCGATTTTGTTTTTTGAAAATCCGCCCACCCACCCTCGAGAAAATCCTAGATCCGCCTCTGAATCCCAAACCTCGACCCGGGAAGCAATCATAAACCAACCAAAATATTCAAATTGTGACAAGCAGTGACAAAACCTGAACAAAATTCCCTTAAGGCTTCTATGAGTTCTTTTAGATTCACTGTCTTTATTGTCATATTCGGCAAGGTTGATCTGAAAGCGAAAACAAGTCTTTAGCTCACATAAATTTTTAAGACCACATTTGATTCTGATTCAAGATCAGCGGGTCTCCTAAAAAGACCAAGAGTTCAACTTTTTTCCTTTCACTCATGTTAAAAAAGTGACCTTGAAGTCGAACTAGTTGATATGTTTCAATTCTATTGTTCAAATGTTTCAATTTTATTATCCAAAATGACAAGACTGCTCGTATCACTCATGTTGAACAAATGTTCAGTAAATGCAGGGGCGGATTTAGGGGATGGGGGCGGGGGGGGGGGTACGTTCTCTTTCTCAATGATTCCACCCCCTGCCAACGCAAAAGGTCCCACCTTTGTACTATTTTGAGATATCCATTTTTGGCTGACGGATCCTAAAATTTTTAAAGGCGCCTGCGGCGCCATTACATACTAATTTTGAGAGGGAAGCGCGTGCCAAAAAAAAACGCGTTTTTTTGGTCAAAATTTTCCTAAAAGTGGATAAAAACGCCTTTTTGGCCTATTTTTTCAAAATTTTGCCTGCGGCCAAGAAACTTTGGCCAAAACAGTGTCGCTTTTACTGCATTGGTTGAGCTCAAAAAATGCACGACCTGAAGAAAGGTTTTTGAAATTTTTTGAAAATCCCCCTCGAGAAAATCTTAGATCCGCCCCTGAGTAAATGTGTCTATTTGTCAACTTTTTTTTATGTCAGCCGTTTTGATTTTTGAGCACTACAAAAACCCGAGAAAGACCTTATTTTACAAAAAAAATTTTGTGTAAAAAAGCCAGCCCTGTGAGAATTGACGTTAACTCCGCCTTTATAAAAAAAATGATTTATTTAACTAACACATATGTCTGTATTAAATGTGACCTTGAAAAAAAATATATATATATATATATATATATATATATATATATATATATATATGCTACCTTGATCTTGGTTGAAATTAAAGTGAGTTTGAAGTCGAAATAGTTGATATGTTCAATTCTATTGTTGAAATGTTTCAATTTTTCTTTACAAGACAAGACTGCTCGTTCATGTTGAAGTAATGTTCAGTAATTGTGTCTATTTGTCAACCTTTTTTTAGGTCAGGTTTTTGACTTTTTGGGCAATGCGAAAACCCGAGAAAAACATTATTTTACAGCAACTTTTGTGTGTCAAAAAGCCAGCCTCCACCACAAAATTAGTGAACATTGACGTCAAATCCGCCTTTGGAAAAAATTACTCATGGCAAAATTATATGTTAAAAAAGCAACAAAGGGAAAAGAAGTTGCTCGTATCAGGGCAAAGTCCTGCATGTTCCGACTGCCTTTTCAGGTTATGGAGCAGTAATAAGATGAAAAAATTAGGTATAATAAAATATAGCGATTTTTTTTTGTACAAATTGAAACGATTGAAATTTTTTGTACAAATCAACCCTCACAGGCCATATTGAGTACAAAGTGATCGATTTCGGTCCAGGTAACAAATCAATTATGGCAAGAAAGCTTCTTTTAACCAATTTGGAACAATTTCTAAGATGGATTAAATCTCCGCTTACGCGTTGAAAACGCTAAATTTATCGCGCGTTAATTGTCCCAAATCGGCCAAATTGACAATCTTAAAACCCCCATGGCTTTACAAAAAATGATTTTTAACAGGTGAAATACCTTCTCAAATTTCAGCTCATGATAACAATACCTTTTGAACATTCAAAAATTCCGTCAAAAAAAGCTAGTTAAAAAGTCGAAATTTGTCTGAAGAAGAAAAACACCCCGAGCACAAATGTTCCGTTACTTTCGTTACGAAAATCAGAACAATAAATCTCCGCTTAGGCGTTAACAGCGCGAAGTATATCGCGCGTTAATTGTCCCAAATTGGCCAAAATGGGAACCTTTAAACCCTCATAACTTTTTTAAAAAATGATCACAGGTGAAATATCTTTTGAAATTTAAGCTCAGGACAACAATACTTTTAGATGATATTTAAAAATTTTGTCAAAAATAGCTAGTTAAAAAATCGAAATTTGTCTGGAGAAAAAAAACCAACCCGAGCACAATTATTCCATTACTTTGTTACGAAAGTCGGATTAATAATAGTAACCTTGAACTCGAACTTAATTGTTATGATTCACTTGATGTTATTAAACACAATAGTGACCTTGAACTGTACGAAAGTCGGAGCAAAAATAGTTACCTTGAACTCGAATCTAAATGACATGATTCACTTGATTTTAATAATTACGATAGTGACCTTGAACTGGTACTGTTGTGTGGCTTCTCTATCCAGTGTGGCCCCATTGGCCACTACGAGAGTGCCCTGTCTGCTCAGCTCAAACGGAAGTGACTCGGCTGAAGATGAAGATGAAGATGCAGAGGAAATGTAAAACTCAAACTCCGCATTCGCTCCCTGAAGCACACAGTTCGGAAAATTACACTGCACTAATTTCTTAAAAATGTATTTTTTGTTTTAAAATAGTTCTCCATTAACTTTTAAAAAATAATAATAAAAGCATAAGTACTGAGAGTCTAAAGCAACCGTTTAGAAAACCAAATAGAATTTATGTCCGGGTGTAATTAATTTGAGTCTCAAAAGCAACAACTGAAACAATAATTATTTCCGTACAAGAAAATTTGAAAAATTCTCACTTTATTTCAGTTTTTTTTCGAATAAAAAGTGCGCAATCATGAGCAGACAAACATTTAAGATTTTACTCAATTTTTCTTAAGTTTTCTGACGGTTTTGACAAAAAAAACTTCAGCGCGATGTCCGTCAAACTGTTAATAATTGGTGCCAAAGACACCTCCAGAAAATCTTTGGGTTGTACGGCGAAAATGGGTGTATCATAATATAGAACCAGAAAAAGACTTTTTGGGTGGTGAGATTGTCCACTCCTAGAAAATACCACCCCGTTCCTCCTTCCACCCCCTGAATCCACAACTGACGGCGAGAGTTATCGGCTATTTTTCTTGGTTCAGTCAATAACGAAAAATTCTTCTATTTTAAGATCCTGTTATCACATGCATTCCTTGTAAAAACATTTTATGGCGTATAAGACGACCTTCCTTTTAAAGAGATTGCGAGCGATATATCGTGTTTTATCAACTATCTTTTAAACACTGCCAGCGTAAATCGACTGCTGAAAATTCCTTTTTGTTTTAAAAATCTCATTTTTGACCTCATTCAACAAAAAAACGAGAAGGTACTTATGCAGGTATGCTTAAAACGACACCACAAAAAAACAATTTTGATTAAGTTGATGAAACAACTTACGATGTCGAGGTCGACGGCAGACAGCTGTAGAACAAAAGTGGACTGGGGGGAGTTCTCAGGGACTGTGGCCTCGTAGAGAGTTTGGGTCATGACGGGTGCATTGTCGTCCACGTCCTCGACATACCTGAAGCAGTAATCAGAGAACTCAGTCTTGTTTATTTGTTGAGTTCTTGAGAGTCTTGTTTATTTGTTGAGTTCTTGAGAGTCTTGTTTATTTGTTGAGTTTGAAGCCAAACTTTATCAATGAAAAATTTCAAAAAAAATCAGAAAAACATTCATCATGAGAATTTAAGTTTCTATTGCTTACAAATAGATTTGCTTTATTCCAGAATAATTAAAAAATTGCATCCAAGTCTTAAACAGAGGTTCAGCAATAGCTTGTTTGATAGTCTTTTCCATCGCTCATGGTTAAATTGTCTTAACTTAATTAGCTCGTTTTTGGGGAATCTCTATATTTTGCTTATATATAGTTCTATTTTTGTTGATCTTTTTTGTTATTTCCGGTTTTTGATAAACCGAAATAGATGAACACATACACAATGACGGCAACGCTGGCTCTTCTCTGGGAGTTAATGAGTTGGTAGGCTTCAATTAGAAGAGTGCGCGACTGGACTCCATTCTGCCCATCTCGATCCAGTGGCTGACTCAGACTAATCTGACCGGATGATTCCTCAACAGAAAACCCAAACACTGGCTCTGAAAGAAAAAAACACAATTCAAGGTCAAGCTTTTAGCAAAAATTTATCATGAAAAATCATTCATAGATAAATTTCAGAGCTTTTAAAAATCGTAATTAGGCTCATTCTGTTTCAATCTTTTTTCCAAATTATTACTGGAACATCAATTTTGGTAGCAATCGATAGCGAAGTTGGTGTTGATACCAATTGGTGCAATTAGAAGTGGTGCAATTAGCATAAATAGTTGTGAGTGCAACCTTTCAGTCGATATGCGATGGTGTAATTGAATGCGTCCCCGTCTTCGGCTAGCAGAGCAGGTTCCACAGTCACGACCTTAAACATGTGCAAAAGTGAAACAAAACCAAAAAATGATTATAGTTTCCAAGCCCTAGCTTTTATATCATAAGTGCTATCGCACTATAAAAATGCAGCTCGATCAATTTACGATGCCAAAAAATTTACGATGATTCCAAATAAAACCTTATGTGATGCGTAAACATAGTTTCAGAAATATTTCAAATTTTGGTCTAGTTTTTACTGTCAAAGGCAGAATATTGGGACAAGTTTTACCAGTTAACCGTAAAATATAACAACAAGTTGTTTTTTCAAACTGACTGTTCTGCTAGCTCCTTAGTCAAATCTTTGGACTTCATTACTTCACGTTTCTCTGCTCTTTTTCTAGGACACTAATTTCTCTATCTGAGGTTTGTATTGCTCTTATAATAGCAAAAGTTGGAGCCCCTTACCCCTGTGTATCCCTCGTCGACGTAGGCGGAGTAGAGGTTTGAGGTGAAGACGGGATCCCTGTCGTCCGTGTCTTCTATGGACACCACCACGTCCACAGTCGCCGACATCACACTGTCTAATGCCCCGGGCACACTATTCTATACAAACAACAACAACAAAAAGGTCACAAAAAGTCAATGAGTGTGCAATTTACCCATCATGTTTAAGCTGAGAAATCTGTTTGCTCAAAAATGATCTTTTAAGTTTAAAAATGGTGGCAAAAGCTCTTTCGCACAAATAAGCTGATGCAAGGTCTTACATAGTCATATTTAAGCTAAAAAATTGTATGAGAATAAATTGATTTTTAGCTTGAAAAGAATGGAGGAAAAGAAAGGGTCGCAAAAGGTCAATGAGTAGCCAATATGGAAAAGCAACTGTTACATCGTGAAATTATATTTTTGGTGAGATTTTAACATCAAAACGATGGTTCATTTAATTGCATTGATAAATGCAATTAATGGTCTCCGCTTTGGTACTATTTTAGGACCTGCAATTTTGGCTGGCAGACCCTAAATTTTTCTAAAGGCGCTTTTGGCGCCATTATATACTATTTTTGAGTGAGGAGCGCGCGCCAAAAAAAGTGATTTTTTAGTCAATATTTTTCGAAAATTGTCTAAAAAACAGCCTTTTTTGGCCTGTTTGTTTTTAAAAACAAAGCTCGAAAACAATTTTGAAAGTTTTCAACATGCAGGCTAGGACGGACAGTTCAATTGATTAAATTGGTGCCTGATTGGAAATCAATGGGTATACAGTGCTCCAAGGGCTGATTTTGGATTTTTTTGAGCGGGACTCCAACTTTATGAAAAAAAATTTTGACTAACTTTCTTAAAGCCTTGATAAAAGTGTCCTAAACTATAAAACTGTACCAGACATTTTTGACACTGACAAAAATGTCTGAATTTGTTTTCCTTGATCTGACCTTGTGATTTTTATTGCTTTGATGTTTTGCATCCGTTTGATTGTTCTCTACTTGGATTCTATGTGTTCCAAATAACAGTTGAACAATCAAAGCGAGACCGAAATTTGAAAAAAAAAATAATTAGAATAAATTAATATTGCTACTGCACCCTTTCAAGAAACTGAGATCTTTACTCGGATCATAGGCCGCAGCTAACTCGGAAAGGTTTTTTTTTCAAATTGAACACACTGAGGTTTTTCATAACGGGACACTCTTTTCCCGGCGTACAATTTTTCTATTTGGGTTTCCGCATTTTTCTGTTCATCTTTGAACTTCTTGTTTAGCTTTGGAAAAGATGGGTGTTTTGCGTTGAAAACTTTAACGAAGTTGCTCTTCCAACATTCAACTGCATTGTTGGTTCTCGGACACCCCGTTGTCACTTCAGCTGTAAATGTTAAATTTGGATTTTTGACGAGCTCCATTTGCCGCCGAGAGTCGACCAATCTCATTATCTACAAAATAAATGAAAAGCAGTTGAGATGTAGCGAGGCTTCTCTTCTGGAGTGCTTCAAATGCGGCGTTGACGTCACTTACTGGCAAGAAAGCGGTACTTTGGAGCATTTGCACATGCTCACTGAATTCTAGATCATGCCTGTAGTTATTTGGATTTCCAGTAGATTGAACGTGACGCCAGATGTTTTAGTACACATGGAAGTAGCACTTTTGAATTTGTTAAATTTTGGATTAGGAAGAAAATGCATTTTTGTTTGCTATTTCGAAATCATTGGTTGCCCTTATGGCAAAGTCTATCTCGAAACAGTTCACCACCAGGGACAACAGGGACAAAAGAACACCATCAATTGATGCGTGTATTGGATATATCTGAACAATGACAATCGGAGCCGTTGAAAAAGTGCCATCGCAGAACCAATCATAAGCACCACTAAGAAACTCCAGTCCCGGAAGAATAGTGAAAACCATCATTCGCTTTTTATAACCTAGTTCAGAATCAAAATGAAGGAAAATTCCGCCACTGTGAGTCAATTCCAGCAATTCTGGTAGTTTGAAACCAATATATGACTTTCCTTCCTGCTTTTTGGGCCGTCTTTACTAATTGATTCTGTTGACGGTTCTCTAATTGGCTGAATAGTTTGGAGATTCAGTTTCTCTGTTATGTCTCTTCGAACTGAAAGAATTGAATGTCGAGGTGGCTCATCTGCTATTACTGCTCTTGTCAAGAGCAATTCTGAATTTTCGCTTTTCCATGTTGGCTGGATATGAGAACTGAATAAGATCATTTAAAATAGTGGTGTGTTTTGCAATAAGCCCACACGGCGATTACATTTTGATAAAAACACATTTTGATAAGAACAAATTGCAGTGTCCGACAAAACTCAAGGTTACGAATCGTAAACTAGCATTTCAGTGTTTTTTTTTCATAAGGACTTCTATTGTTGACCAATAATTAAAGAGCTATATTAATGATACTACAATCGGTCAAAGCTTCGTTTGGCGCAAACATCAACTAAGCAATAATTGATTTGGTATCTGTAAATGATTTGAGTCCTCTTTTATTTGAGTCTCTAATAGGTCACTCAAAGAAAAATTTGGTTCTACTGCACAGTTGCGTAGCCTTATCAAATTAATCCTCCTTCTTTTAAATTTTCACAAAATAATACTGTTGTTATCTAGGTTGGCAATTAGCTGGACAATTTTCGGATGATTTTGGGACAATTTTGTATGGGAACCAAATGTCTTGGACGCTTTTTGATTTTTGGACAGTTTTGTCCGGGACATTAATGTCTTGGATAAAATTGTCCAGACACGGCTCAAAACACCACTTTTGGGCATTTCTAGAAAAAAAATTGACCAAAAATAGCGTTTGGCCATAAAAAGTTGTCGTTAAATCGTCACTGAGTGTTAATATGGATCAAATAGTTTCGATCTCCATTTGAGACTGTTTAAATTGATGGCCATGCCACTGTGAAAGTGTCACCGAAACCTCTTGCTCACCATCCTCTCCTCGCTCTAGCCGAATTGCTTAGAGGAAAATTTGTTACACGGTGGAAACTTCCTAAAACTGTTTTTAGGGTGGTCATTCTTTCTAAGTATACCATGGGATGAGATATAGAGAGTTGCAAAAAGTTGGAACAGACGGAAATAATTAAAAAGAGCAAACGACCTATTTCAGAAAATTTTTGCATACAAAAGCTCATTTTTCAGTCGGAAAAAATGACTCAACGTCATCTAAAAACTCAAGTTTGCATAAAAACATTGCTTTAAATTGGCAGATTGCCCTTCTTAATTATTTTAGTCTGTTCCAACTTTTTGGTACTAATTATAGTTTAGAAGATCTTGTCTGTTCAAGATCTGGTTTTCGATCATAACTCACGATGGCTTCGACCTTGAAGTCCAGCACTGGTTTGCTCTCGTAGTCCAGATAGCCAATCAGAGCCATGCTCGCCTCCCATTGGTTGTTCCCATTTGAAACCAGCTCAGACAGGGAGAAAAGTTCCCGCGCAACATCCTGAAGCAATTAGAACATTGGAAAATGAGTTTCAGTTAATCACCCTCAGTTCCAAAAGTTACGACAAAAATTCTATTTTTTCTATCTAAAAAAATTGAAGTAAAAATCAGTCAAACTAAAATAAGATTGAAAAAACTGTTCAGAATCTTAGCTTCACGTCTTTAGATTTTGATGAATTTGCAATGAAGTTAAAACTTTTTTTGCCCCTGAGTTAATACAAATGTTTACACGTCGATTGATTTCATATTTCTTCAGCTTAGCTCTGAATGAGAAATGTAATGTGATTTAAGTTGGCTGAAAAAATTACTTCAATTTTTTTTTAAAATAAAAATGAAGTTTGACAGACCTGGTCGGCGCCTGTGAATGATAGAGTCGACTCTTGATGCACCTCGACTAGATCCCCGTCTGTGACGAGAAACGAAAACACAGACACCGCTGGGTTGGGTTCCTCGTTCTAAACACAAATAAAATTTAATATACCACAAGACCTTGTTATCGGCACGATACTACATGCTCAAAATTTGGAACAATCTACAGTTGTCTGAAAAATATTTCTAAAAACCCGTTAAAGTTAAAATAAGCTTAAATATCGGAAAATTTTCATCTACAGATTTTCTGATGACAAAATTATAGTATCAGAATACATTGAAGAAAGTTTTTTGGAGCGGCGAAAATGATTTAACATTTATGACGAAATCTTGAATTTCATTTTTTTTCCGTTAGTTTTTTTAATTCGAAGAAATTAATTGATAGCACGTTCATTTTCTCATTTGCGTATTAGTATGCGAAGTGCTTCCAAAAAAATTCACCTCCAGCAAGTTGAACTGAATTGTGCTGGGTATAAATTGAGGAGGGTTGTCATTTACAGGCACAATTGTCATCTTCAACAGATATGTCATCCTCCTCTGATGAGACTAAAACACGCAAATAAAAACTTGAAAAAACCTTTGGGGCGTCGTGAAAATCATGGTTTAATACGCTTATTCTTATTTTTGCTTTAAAAAAGGATTTTTTTTAGAAATTGAAATAAGAAATTAATTAATAGTCTAAAATTGAGCAAAACTCGTTGTTTTTTTCAGAGTTATCTGTTTTTAATACCAAATGAAGAAAGATACGAAAGCCGATTGGGGCTAAGATTAGGTAAAATATCGATATTGCAATCCGCTCAAATTGTGTCGAGCTTGCTATCTCAGACACTCCAACTGTTTGTTTCTATGTCATGCGAAAAGGTGCCGCAGCACCCGGGGACGAGGTCCGCGACTCATTCCAGACTTTCGCGACAAATTTTTGGCATGTCCAGACTTTCGCGGCAAATTTTGGGTATGTCCAGACTTTCGCGACAAATTTTGGGTGTGTCCAGACTTTCGCGACAAATTTTGGGTATGTCCAGACTGTCGCGACAACCCACCGCGCGACTCATGGCCAGACTTTCCAGACTCAAACTCCTGGCGCGACTATGCAATTTGGGTCTAAATTTTGATGCGGCGCTACCCACAACGCCTGGATATGAGTCTGGGACCTCGACCCGGGCCAAGCCCTTGAGAGACAGATTTAATTGCATTCTCTAAATGGCAATTTCTGCTCTATTAAAGACGTTATTGCTGAAAATTGAAGTGTTTAAGAGGAGAACGCTACAGCAATAGTGACAGAATGAGAATCATTATAATGAAGCCTGATAATGGTAACGACCATTCCTTCTCATAAGCAATTTGGGTTTAATAGGGGCAGTTCTTATTGGCCGTCGCTCTGCACTTTAGCTGTCGTAAATATTTCTTCCTTAAAACCGGTTTCCGAGCAGAAATCAAAATTTTTATATAGTAACTTTCTGCATATTTATTAGAATCCAAGCAAAACAGTCCAAAAATAATCCATCTGAAAAACTAAAAAAGAATCAGTAAACGCTAAGAAATATTAGGATATCTGGTGACTGTTCAATTAGCATATGTTCCGATCGCAATTAGTTTCACCAGACCAAAAATTAAAGGAAAAGGAAACAAAATATTCTTATTTTTTGGAGGCTAGGAAAGGGGAACGCGCCTAGTTAAAAACAAATAAGTTACATTTAAAAAAATCAATTTTCCTTATTAATGAGCTTGACGACTTAATTGTTTTTAATGAAACTTCTGTGTTTTCGAAATTGGTCTAAAAACTGAAAACACCCATTGATTCTTTTCAAATTCTTAAATCCGAATCATGACGAATAAGGCTTCGATCTGATACTTTGCTTAGCTTTCTACGTGTATGGGTGATGCTGTTTAAAAATATATATAACCAGTTGCTGTGCAAATACCATGCACAAAATATTCCGACGGATCTACTCAACATATCCCCCCCCCCCCATTTTAAGAAAGGGGGCAATTCTTAAGCAGGTTAAAATAACGCATTTTCGACCAATCAAATTGCAGCAAAATTAGAATTCTCAATACAAAGCTCTAGTGCTAGTTTACAGCTTTTATTATTAGCAGGCGCGGATCTAGGATTTTATTGAGGGGGGGGGGGGCGGATTGAGAAAAGTTTTGACGAAAACAATGATTTATTTACAATAAGAAAATGAACAAAATTAAACAAAATTGAGTCTTCGATTTTTTGCGGCAAATCTGTCGATGACCTCTTCGACATTGATTTCTACATCTTCGTGAATGTAAATTACCCCTACCAGCCTCGAGTCAAAAAATGAGTCCAATTTGAGGTCTCAAAAAAGACGCACTTTCACACCTTGAATTTTCACACCTCAAAATTTTCTTTGATATAAAGGCCAAAGACACCGGCGCCAAAGGCGCCCTTTGAAAAAAAATTAAGTAAATTGTTCAGAGGGGGGACCCTTTGGTAATTGCTACGGTCAAATTCCTGAGGAAGGGGGGCGTCCGCCAATCCCCCACCCCCGCCCCCCCCTAAATCCGCCCCTGATTATTAGGGGTGGCAATTTTTAAGTACATACCAAAGGGAGGGCGATTCTTTAGTAGATCCATTCCGACTGCTCAAATTTTTTATAACGACAGCTAAAATAAGAAAAACCAAAAAAAAAAATGAAAAAAGAGTGCATTTTAAAAAATTAGAAGATTAATGTTGTATATAAATTTTTTTGAAATTTTTGGGTGCAGGTTATTAATTCGTAATTCAGTCCTCAAAACATAAAACGAGCAGTATGAGCAGAAGCAAACCGATTTCAGGATGGAGCGACCGCACCCTTTTGGAACACAAAAATTCCAGAATCGATCACCACTCTTCAAATTTCTTTCAGAAATAGTTCTAAATAAAAAGAAACCTCAAGTATATAGGTTCCTCATTTTATTCAAAATTTGGAAAAATCATGGGTTGCAATAGCATTTTTGAATGATTTTTGAGCGTTTTTATCACAAAATGTAATCATATTAATTTTTAATTTTCTGTCAACCTTAAAAAAATTTTATTAATCATTTGAAAGTAAAATGTCTCTCTAGCTTTGAGCCCAACTTATCAGATGTCATAAAAAATGCAATAAAACGGCTTCTTCCGTCAATTTTTTTTGAAGATAAAAAAATTACAATAGCCTGTTTTAAAATCATTCACCTTGATTGTAATTTAGCGCTCAGTTATGTGAATATCCGGCAAAAAAATTGAATAAAGAAATTAATCAAAAAAACGAAGAAAAAATCAACGGGTTGTCTAATACAGGCGTTTGCTTTAATAAAAAGCGAACTTGTTACAAATTTTTTGAAACTGCATCTTGCTTTTAGCAAGCTCAAAACTGCATATTCTCAATTAAAAAAACGTTGAAAGAAAAATTTATGAGTGTTTTTGGGGGTTTTTGTGGCAAATGCTCAGATTAAGTCCCGAATCTGCTCCGTTATGCATTGAAAATCTTTACTCAACTCTTAGAGTCAGAAACTGTTCATTTATATGAATAGTTGTGCAAACATTTTACTTTATGACTTTTGATGGTCATGATTATAGCGGTTTTTCGAAAAAGTCAGTTTAGCCGAATAAAATCAACTGTTTTTCAAGAAGTCACCATTTATCAAAAAAAAACGGAAGAGATCTTAGTCATGTTTTTTATTCGACAAAAATCTGTGCGGCTCTTTTCCATTGCCTGAGTCTCAAAATTATCAGAATGTTCTGAAACTCGTGCTTTTGAAACTTTCATATCAACTTGAATAAAAGAAATTTTTTACAACTTTTACAAAATCAATAATAATAACTTCAATTATTAAACAAGCATTATTATCATTACATTAAAAACTTGGAAATTGGGGGTATATTTGACCAAATGAACAAAAAATACCCACGCACCACCTGTTAACGAAACAAAACTGGGATCATTAATAATCAATAATGAACATCTAAATCATTATTAAAAGTGCTTTAAAAGAAGTTTCTAGAAAATCTAAAACTACAGGAATCTTGAAAATTGAAAGGAAGCTATTTTTGTTATACTTTGGTTAATTTTACCCTGTTCAATTCCATGCAAAAAGAATAAATTTATAGGTTGCGTTATGTCTTAAGCTAAGGCTGATTTTTGATTACTTTGTGCAAGCCGATACTTTAAATGATGAAATTGGCGTTTGGTGTCTTTTTACTCCAATCCCCATCCCCCCCCCCCCCCCCACCCCACCGCGCATGAGCATCAATTTTATGGCGTAACGAGTGATTTCACAAGGTTAAATATCAGCACCAAATATGTTTGTCATGGCCTAATTAGTGCGCGTGTCAATTTTCATAGAAACTGGATAACATTAATTTAACTTGTGAAATTCGCAGGTGGGGTGGAAAAAGAAAATGAGCCGGAACTTGCATAATATTGGACCTTGGATCACTCTCTCAATTTTCTACTTATTTGCCCAAATTATGTCTATAATAAAATAGTTTTTCAAAACTGAAAATAAAATGAAGGAGGGATTGGTTAAGAAAAGAACCAAATCGGGCCAAACAGACCCAGCAAACAGTTAAAACTGTTGGAAAAGAGTCTTTCTGTTCCAGTAGTTTCGCAATGTCAGAATGTATAACAAGTGAAAACTCCAGATGGTCAGTGCTTTCTGTGGCGTTTTGTTGGCTGTGGCACGTGCTTTCTGGTTTCTACTGCAACTGACAAAACCGCCACAAAACAGCAAAACGAGAAAGATGGAAGCGAATAATGTCAATAAAAAGTCAGGAGAAAAAACAAGGTAAATTTCTGATTTGCATATGTAATTGGTTAGCTCTAAATTAACTGGTTAATTTTTCCGCATTTGATTTAGAATTAATAACTCATATTTAAAATCAAAATGATAGTTGCCTATCGTGATAGTTATTAGAATAGTAATTTCAAAGTTTTAGCTTAAAAATCAAAATTTTAGTCCTGATTTTGTAAAGAGTTCTGCCATAATGCGATCATGACTTATGAGCGGTACAATTTGATCAAACTTTTAAAGAAAGAAAAGAAAGAATGAATTTATTTCTCCATAATTTTGAATATATTTCAATTTGTAACGTCAATCAAAAAAGATAAACGCATACACAACATGGAGAGAATAAATAACAGACAAGCATGTCTGATCAGAATCTAACCATGCATAGTTTTTATAAACAAAAAATAAAAAAATAAACTAAGGAAATCAATAAAAGAGGAAATATATTAACTTTTCCTAATTAAGGAAAAAACAAAAACAATGAACTATCTATGTGCAGCTGGAAATTTTGTACACAATTTAACTATATTATTCATAATTAAAAAAAAACTTTTTCTTTTTTCTATGTTTTTATCGAACAAACTAAAAATTTTGAAAAAAATCGCGATTTCTTAAAAACTACGGAGATTTAGACCGTCATATTTTGCGTCCAAACTTGGAGTTCTGAATCATGGCCTGGTACAAGTAAACTTCGGGTTTTGATATTTAGGAGAGTGAAAAATCATACAACCAAGTTGTCGTCTCGAGAAAATTAACCAAGAATTGATTTTGTTAGCTCATGATTTCCTAAGTTGTACAAAAATTTAATTTTGTGGGCAACGGATAGCACTTGTTTTGTACTATGACTGAGAATCAATTGGCATAATCTTATTTACTTGAAGTATGTTGAAAAATTTTGGTCCCCGATAAGTAAAAAAAAGTGTTTTTCTAACTAGGAATTTATTTTCATTTAGAAAAAAAATTTTTTTTCAGATCTTCTAGTTTTTCTAATAGAATTATTGAAAAAAAACAGCTCATTAATAAAATTTTCTGAATGAAGATTTGATAACGATCTCAGTAAAAATTTCAACATTTCGTATATGAACTGTTCCTGTACTCACAAAATTTTTTGTTTTGAAAGTATAGCAGAAACGCTTTCGTAATTTTGCGCTATTACTTATAAAAGTAATTTAAAAATTCAATCAGGGCACAACAGTGGCTCTGATTTATGAACTGAAGACCTTGTATGTAGGCGTGTTCTTTCAAAAGACAATATCAATTTTTTTCCGATATTAAAATTGAGCTCTTTTTCGGCTCCCCTATATTTATTTGATTTTTTGCTGAGTCCAAATTATAGCAAAGCATGTAAGTGTGAGCAATAAGTGAACAGATTTGGTTGTTTTTCAAAAAAAGGCCGTATGAACAAAATTTACGTTTGGGCTTCTATGAGGGACTAGAAAAGACTAAAATTTGGCTTTTATTCAGACTTAGCGGCAGTCGGGAATCGGGGAGCGGTTTCAGAAAAGAACTCAAATCTCCCAAATACTGCAGCTTCGTCCTACTTGCAGTGCTTTCAACAATAGTGTTCTGCCTCTTAATCGGGATACCCTCTACTTGTATTTTGATGGGCAGCATCGGTAAATGTCCAATAGAACCCAGAGTACAGACGTGGCTTCTAGTTTTCGGAGCTTTCGTTCTAATTGGGACTATGTTGTCTGTTTTTCTTATCTCTTGTGGCGGTCTTTCGGCTATCTCGCAGGTTGGTTAAGCTTTAAATCTAGGGTCATATCAATACAATGCTTGGCCCAATTAATGAAAATTAGCACAGATTGTCCTGACCATATTAATCAATCAATACAAAAATTTCTGAAAAAATTGAAGCTTTCATAACTTTTTTTAAACTTTTCGGTGAAGTTTTTGAAAACTGCGTTGTTTTGGTTTTTGACTATCAATTTGAAAAAAGGGAAGAACTTAGGTTCAGTTTAGCAATTAAACGAAATTGGTTAAGAAATGTTAAAATCCACTCCCTTTTTTATCCACACGCGTTAATTTGTTTTGAATGGCAACAAAATCAGACCAAATTTTCCTCTCTACCTAAAATAATTTTCTTTGAATGTTATTAAGTCTCATGTAAAAGGGTGTTTTAGTGAGACAACAACCTCAACGTGCTTGTTTTCAGCTGTGTGAGCGAGAAAAAAAATTTGATAAATTTTATTGAAACTTCTTGGTAAAATTGAAATTATTTAAGAAACTGGATCTATGGGTAAAGTTTTTATCAGCTGGGAAATTTAAAAACTGATATCCATTTATGATTCTGAAAAATCGTTCTCGTTTTTTTCGCGAATTCCACTTCCTTAATTGGAAAACGTCTTTTGCTTCATTTTGCTTTTAGCAAAAGATAAATAGTTGAACTGAAAAAGGCATCAAAAATCACTTCAACAAAAATTAAAATTGAGGATAAATGGTTCTAGGAGTCTTGAACGTTAGTGAATACTCTTATATAGATCTTGGTATTTTTTTAGGCTTTTTTTCAGGAAAACGTTTTTTGATCCATCTACGTTCAGTTTTGATTTTTCGCGGTTTGAGTTTTTTTTTCACTTTAGTTGATTTTCTTTGTTAAAAGGAAAGCAAACTCCACTATTGAATAGTGCAAATGTAGAGGCCACATTAACGCAAGCAACTTCTCGTTGTGAAAGTAAAGGTTAGTTTTCAGATTTCCCAGAAAAAAAAAGATCTATTGATCTATTGAACCAGTCATATTGAGTTTAATTAATTTCATCCAAATAGGTGGGAATTATCATAAACTTTTTTGAAGCTGCCACACTTTTTTTTTCTCCGTACTTTGAAATTTGAAGTTTTCTAAAAACAAATAGTATTTTTTTGTTTATTTGCGTTCCTTGTCTCTTTTCCAACTCGTAATGAAAAACGGGAAGAAAATCATTACGACCTATAAAGAGGTCTTCACCACTGTAATTGATAGAGAGAACAATCTTTTATCTGCCAACACGTTCTAAAAAGTCGTATTTCGGAAAACTAAAATATGGCTTCCCAAGTTCTCAATTAAGAAATTTTTGATTAAAGTAAAGCGTACGCATCAAAGTAATTTGTTTCAAATTTAATCGAAAACAAACTGTGGCATGAAAATTGTACAAGATGAGATACATAATGTTTTTTTGTATGTGACACTGCAGATAAGGAAAAAATTCAATTTGTTTTCAGGTTTGAAGAATTAAGGTTTTCATAGCCGTAAAGAAAACTTTTTTAAAGAAATTTTTTCAATCTTTCATGCAACAATTTTTTTCTTATTCAAGAAAAATTTTTAACAAAATCATAGAAAAATTATAGAATTCATTAGAAGAGAAATTTTCAAATTATTCCATATTTGTTGACAAATCTTCCCTAGTAAATTACGATAAAATTTCATCTAGTAATAATTTATTTGGAACACATAATTTCCCTCTATACACGTTGATAGAAAACAGTGCGCAATGATTATCTGCGTCTGGCCGTTTCGCCAATTTTTAAACATCCATAGACGATAGCTTATAAAAATTATCACAGTTTAAATAAGCTTTTGATCCGACCTGGGAACAAATAACTTCAAAAAATTCAAGTTTTCTGCAAAAATATTTGAAAAAAAAAAATCTTTTTTTTTAAATTTTAAGTTTTTCTAATCATTTTTCTACACAATTTTTTGTCCAATTTGCCTGTTTTACTATGACTGTTTAATTTGCCTAAATTGTAATTTTACGTCGAATCTTTTTATCACACCTAGCAGAAAAAACTACACTAGTTAAGAAAAAAAACTTTCTAAACCGTAGTTTTCTAAAGACAATTTTCGGAATATTCTGTGCTTTTTGCACAGTAACTGGCTATCCTCGTTATTATTTTGAACTCAAGACAAATATATTTCGTCAGTTTCTTCAGAAATTCAAACCTTGATGCGAGATAAATTTTCTTTGTTGTGCATTTAATTATTCAAGATTTTACCCTGATTTGAGCAGTTTTGCTCTTGCCTATGCACTGGTGAGTAAAAAAGCATCATGATAATTACCAAACAAAAAAATAAAACAAAGCAAGAAAGTAACTTATCTGAAACTTCTAATTATTACCCTAGTTTTGCCCGGAGTAATTTTTAATTTTTCTAAACAAATTCAAAATAGTGGTAATAAAAAAAACGAAGACATGGAGCCAAATCACTGTTTTCAATCTTAATGAAGCTAATATTTGAAGCTTTACTTCAAAACTTTCTGCTTCAATTATTTTTAAGAATTCAAACCGCGCAAAATTTTTATTGCAAGTTCGAAAAACTGAAAAAGCATAAAATGGCGTATTTCGATTTAAAAAATCAAAAATTTTGCTCTTCGAAGTGCACTTTAATTACTGAAAAAGTTCAATTTTGAAAATTTTTAATTCAGTCAGTTTTAATTGTCAGAGGTCTAAACATACTGTGGTCAAAATTTATAAGGAGTAAATTCTATCTATGAGCAATTGATTTCAAAACAAAAACTAAAAAGCTCTTAAGATTATTTGGTTGCGTACTTTTTCGACTTTGTTCATTATAAAATCCATATATTAACAGGAAGCAGGAGGAGGGAGCCTCTTGCTTTTTTAATAAATGGATTTGTTGATTGATAATCTCAAAAAAAGTACGCAACCAAATAATCTTAAGATTTACAAAAATTATTGTTGAAAAAATAGTTTGTTTTTTGAGTTGTGTTGAAAAAACCCAAATTGTAAACCCATAGGCGAAACGGAACCCGTACCTTAGCGACGAGGAACAAATAGCCCCCAAGTATGTTCTGGATAAACATGTTTTGGCGTATGCAATTCTGACCACTCTTTGCGTGATATTTGCACTAGCCTGGATAGCAGTCGGAAATTACTGGATTTTCTCGAAACACGAAGAGTTTAATAATGACAACGGTGACGGTTGTGATAAATATATTATCAGTTTTGCAATGTATTTGTTGTATTTCATAGACACTGTGATTTTGTTGTCCCTGATTTTAGTTGTCATTTTCCTTGGATGTTTTCTTGTTTACATGATCATTTTCGGCTGGGATATGTTGCCTGATACATTAATATAGTTTTTGTTTATAACCCCAGCCGAACTTTTGGAAACAATGTTAAACTAAAAGAATCAAAATAGATCAACTTGAAATTTTATAAGATTAATTCCGGTTTCAATTATTCAATCAACAATGTTTTTTTTTGTTCTTAGCCATTTGATTGGTGCTAGTAATTATTCATCTATGAGTTAAATGCAATTTCTCGTAAGAAAAAAAAGTATGAGTTAACCAATTGCTTTATTTATAATAAATAACTGTTTCTGAAAATATTCGGTATCACAATGATGCTTTTGAGTGACATATATTAACTAAATTCGAGTCAAATTGAAAGAATTAATGGTTCAAAGACGCTAATTAATTTTATTTTGAAAAAAGTTTTGACTAAAAATTAGGGCAGCATCTTTTCAAGGTCATTTTTTTTCTCTTTTTTTAAAGTTAAGTCGGCGTAGATCAAAAACTTTTGGAATGATATCAAAAAACGATTTAAAAAAAAGACGACCGAATTGATTTTCCGAGATTAAAGTTCAGCCTTACCTGTTTATCAGAAAAACCAAGGTTGAACTTCATTTTTCGAGCTGATGTTCTGTATAATTGTTCTGAGTGGATTATAAATGCTGACTTACAAATCCGAAGTCGGTCGAGACGAGACAGTCCACGGGCACTTCGTAGTAGGTCGGAGCCCCCTCCACATCCAGATCAAAGGGCGTGTTCAGCACAATCGTGTACTCCTTGTTGCCGAAGCGCCCGTCAAAGTCATCGCCTGTCAACATGTAGCTCGTTTCCTTCATATTTTGACTTTGTGTTCGATTTTGATTAGACAGGTTCGACCTTAAGCTATGACTTTAGAGAGCCTTTTCGACCAAAGATTTTCGATGAAACACTGACATCTCTTGATTATCTACATTTTCTAAAAATTCTCAAAGCAGCTGTCCGAAATTGCTATTCTATGCTTCATACAGGGGCGGATTTAAAAGGGGAGCGGGGGGTTGGACGCCCCTTCTCCTCAGGGATTCGACCACCTGCCGACCCAAAGGGTCCCCCATTTGGTACTTTTTAAAAAATCCATTTTTGGCCGACCGACTGTAAAATTTTTCTAAAGGCGTCTTTGGCGCCAATATCCAATATATAATAACTTTGAGGGGGAGCGCGCGCCAAAATACGAGATTTTTCCTTGTCAAAAATTTCGGCTCTTTTTCATTTCCCCCCCCCCCCCCCTGCAAATATTATATTTGAAGTTACTGTTCACATTGTCCGATTGTCATCAAAAATGACATGCTGACTAATTTAGGCCATGACAAACATATTTGGTCTTCATAATTAACCTTTTAAAACCACTCGTTAGACCATAAAATTAATGTTTGAGTGAGGTGGGGGGGAAGAGCCAAAATTTCCAAAAAGGGCCCCAAAATCGGTTTTTCAACTTTTTTTTGAAAATCCGATACACCGATAGTAGATCATGGCAAAACTTCATAAAATTGCGATACTAATTATGAGTTGAAACGAATTTTGTTTACTGCAAAAGCGAGCTCTGCATATATTTTATGGCAAGGTTTTTCGTTTTTTTAACTCAAAATTGCAGTTTGACTATCAAAAATGTGCAATAATTTTGAACTTTATAATAGAAGACTGCTAGGTTATACTGCGAATTTTTCAAATAACTATGTCACCCCAAAAATAAAATCACGTATGCAACCTACCTAGTACTGCGGAACTGAAACTGAAATTTGGTAGAAAAAACTTAGATCAATAAAATCACAGATCAGAGTTTTAACCGTTTTATAACTATTCACATTTTCCAAAAAACGTAAAATCAGTAACTGTAAACGTAAATTGTTTCTGATAATTACATACAAATTACGGGGTTATTAAAAAAAAATTTGCACTTTTTGAGCGTAATTTGGACTTTTTGAGCTATAATAGTTAGAAAGATCTTATGAAATCCAAAAAAAATACCTGTAAATCTTCAAAGCATAAAATTTGAATCTGACTTTTTGACTTTGTATAAATTTTTATTCAAATTTAATTGACCAGCTACGAGCAGAACATAAATCACAAAGGTTGCTCGACCCGAATTAAGTTTGTTCACTTCATGCAAATTTCGTTTTTAGTCTCGAGAATATTTGGTCTCAAAAATTTCCAAACAAAATTAACAACGTGTTAAAATGGGTGTTCTGCAAAAGACTTCCGTGAGATGTTCGTGCTGGGGAAATAAGTTGCTTAAACATCAACTAGAGGAAAAGATGATACATGAAAGAAATACGCATGAAAGTGAAATTACTTCTACTATTTTATTGTTCATTCGAATAAAGCTGAGAATGATAATGCTTGTGTAGTTTTTTTTATATTCAATCAGTTTTCGACTTTTTAACAAAGTGTTTATACCAATTTTTATACCATCTGGAAAAAATTTTTAACTGAAGCTCAATGTAAGAAGATTTTGCAACTGTGATCATTTTTCCTAAAAAATTCTATTGGTTTGATTTTTGGGACTATTTCAAATCCACTGCTAACTACTGCAAACTAAACCCTTCCAAATTGAACTGAGGCAAGCTATTTGCTCTTTGTTCCGACTTTCGAAAAAAGTAAGGAATAGATTTGCTCGGGGTGGTTTTTTGTTTTGTCCAATGTTCAAAAAAAATGCTACTCACTGGCGATCAATCAATTCATCTTTGTGTACTTATGAGGGTCACTCACTGCTATATTTAACTGACTTTACGGTCGCTGTGAAAAGAGTCTTAACTAAACTGCTCATTTTATATTGATGCTGAAAGTGTATAGCTTATTCATTACGCGTGGCGAATTATCCCGCACCATAGAGTTGTTCCAAACTCAATTGAGGCAAGTTTATTGTTCTTATTAACTTCATTCACGACTGAAATTTTTAACATTTAAAGTTTGACATTATCAATTTTGTTTTAAAATAAACACTATTGAAGATTAGTTAATGGGCAGTCGGAACATTTAGGGCTTCGCCCTTATATACGAGCTGTCTTGTTCCAAATTTCGAAACGGAAATTGTGCTCGCGTGGTTTTTTTTTCTGTCAAATATCGACTTTTCAACTGCCATTTTTGACAAAATCTTTTTATCCTTCAAAAAGTATTGTTGTCCTGAGCTTAAATTTGAAAAAATATTCCACCTGTGATCATTTTTTTTGGAAAATTATGGGGATTTACAGATGGCCATTTCGGCCAATTTGGGAAAATTAATGCGCGATATATTACGCGCTATTAGCGCGTAAGCGGAGACTTAATCCGTCATTGAAACAATTCCAAATTGGTTGAAGGAAGCTTATTTGCTCCATTGTTACTATAAGCAAAACGTTGTACTTTATATAGCGTGTGTGGGGGGATAATTTTCATAAAATCTCAAATTTAAAAAAATTATGTTTTATTTTATTACATTTATTTTTTCATGTTATTGCTGCTCCATAGATCTTAAAAGGCAGTCGTAACGTTCAGCGCTTCGCCCTGATATGAGCAGTCTTGTTAATAAGTGTTGTCGCTGGCAACACAAATTGTCTCACTTAGTATTTTACATGGCTTGCGGGGTGATAAATTTTAACAATAATTTATTTTTGAAAAGCTTGTGATCGCCGGTAGAGGGCACCCGAAACGTTCACGGCTTTGTTCTGATATACGAGCAGTCTTGCTTTCTGGATTTCATTCTATTTCCTAACAAATGCGTCAGCAGTTCTCTCAGAATTTTAAAAGTGCACTCTAGTGTTGTAAAATAAGGGGAGCTCAGAATAGACAGATTGCATCAATTTTATGAGTTCTCACTTTTTTGAGATCTCATTTTTATGAATTCTGGTTCTCTCGCGATAGTCTGGAAATAAGGCAATATTTTTTGTTTGCGATAGTCTGATCACAAAATCACAACCTCGGCCGGGCAATGTATCTGTGAGAGTATACTAACTGAATGCGAATTTGACCATGTCCTCCCCCCCTCCTCCTCCCGCGGGGGGAATGGTGAAGAGAGTCCCCACCTCGGCTGTCTCGTCTATTTCGAACTGCAAGTCGAACTGATTCGCCACCCTCACAGCTACAGCCACGTCTCCCACGTCCAGAATTACACACTTTTCCACAGCTGAAAAAACAACAACTTGCAAACTGAAGAGGTCTTTAGAAATTTAAAAAGAGTTTCTTAGGCAAAAATTTGTTTGATTTGCCAAAAATAACACAAAAATAAAGGAATTCAGGAGTTTTTGGTACCATTTTACAAAATCTATTTTTCGCCGATCAACACAAAATTTTGAAGTGCATTGCTTTCTGCAATAAAACTATTTTTTGTTCAATACTAAATAACTCTCGAAACAACTGCGCAGAGAAAATGGGAGGAGCTTAATAGCTACTGATGAAAAGTTTAGAAAGGTAAAACTTACCTTCTTCATCGGTCATCGTTTGAAAACTTTTGCAAATGAAAAATGAAAAAAACATCAACAGATGAAATGTTGCCAACATCTTTGTTGGTTTCTGCTTTATTTTCATTTTGACGTTTTTTAAGCCAAATGATAAATTGTGCAATTTCAGTTTAGCATTGTGCTTTTAATGTAAGAACAATTGCAGATGTTTTTCCTCCGAAATTCATGGCTGCTTAACCTGAACAATAACAGCAGGTGTTCAAATGAAGCTTTTGATACCAGTTTCTGAAAATGTAATATTTTCATCTATTTTAGAAAAAAAAAGAAATATGCAGAAAAAGTCAGTTGATATAGAATCGGTATGCCACACGTTATAGTATCATGGCATGCTAAACATCCATTTAGCAAGAAGGAAGAAGGGTCGGCGGCAAATTTCAAAATAGTGACAAAGCTCGGGCGGTTTCTTACTCAGACCAATTACGAACTTTGAATAAAGAATGTTTGACAGATGATTGCTGTTACCCTACTTAAAGGTATCCATGTACGCGCTCTAATTTGAAAAAATATTTGAACATATGACTTCATATAATTTCATCAAATTATGGGGCTCACAAAGTTATGATTAATTTGAAAATTAAAGCGCGTGAAATTTCTATTTTTTTAATTGCGTTGAAAAATTGCAGCTCGGAAATGTTTCAAAATCGAGTTGAGGCACGCTAATCGATCAAAGTATAGTGTAAATAAATGCAAAAATATTTAATTTTTTGCTTTACATTGTGAGGGGGGAAGACACAAAAAAATCAGACAGACAAAGAACAGACAGAACCATAAAGACTTGCCTGATGCAAGCAGTTAATCCCACAACTTTTCCATCGTATATGGAAGTTTGTTATAGTGTTGCATAGGAAACTTCAGCGAAGTGAATTTTATGAAATTTTTTCATAATTTTTACAAGCGATTTTGCCACAAAAAGATTTTAAGACAACAGTTAACAGTTTAATGGCCTCTAATAAATGCAAAGTTTGTTATTTCCAAAAAAAAATAGTTAAATTAACGAGGAGCGTTAAAATTGTATATAGCGTGAACATTCCCTCAAAATAGATATACAAAAATTCTTACTGATTATGAAAATTTCAGCAAGGTTTCAAAGTTTTACGACAACTGCAGCGATAAAACAATGCAGAGCAGCAAATAACGACAAAAATTTTTCAAATAAAATTTTTATCTAAAAATATCTATCAAGGATAGCCGGTTGCTGTGCAAGTAGCAGATAACGTTTCGATCATACTTTAAAAAAAAAAGATGACGCTAAAAATTTTCAAAAATTAAATTTACCGGAGCTTAGCTTAGCTTCCGTGACTTATCCTACTAAAATAAGCCTAATCGTTTGCTTTTTTGCTCGAAATTGGACTAAAACCCAAAAACTTCAAAAGAATAGCTGAAATCAAGGCTGAAAGGTCTTTAATATAAAATATCCTTTCATGCATCGCGAGGATTAATCCATATTATCTAATTTTACAGTAAATAACTATACTTAATTTAATGTTTCAAAGCAATTCGAAGACATTTATTGAATACTACATTGGTTTGGTATAGCCAAATATGGGTAACAGTTACTCAATCTGTCGAGTCGTTCTAACCTCGCTCGAGTAATTTGATTGATCTAATCCCATCTGGTTAAAAAATAACTCAAAAAAATGTACAAGGCTAAGTTTACTATACAGCTCAAAGAAAAAGCATTTTGAGTGATCTACTATAAAAACTCTCAACATAGCAAGAAAAACACTAAAATTCGAACGGCAACTGCATATCAAAGCACTATCTGAAAAACTGAAGAAGCAAAAAATTACTTTACCAGCCTTCACCAATAATTTGGAGCAAAAACACGAAGAGTTGGTCACAGTGCAAGTATCACAGAAGGTTCCGATCATAGTAAAAAGCTACAAAAGTTTTCTTTCTCCAAATTGTGTGTAGTTTTTTTTCAGCGTGGTGTGATATGACTTAGAACTATTATTTAGACATATTCAAATTTCATAATAATTTAGCATCTTGAACAAATATTTTCAAATAAAATTTTTATCTAAAAATATCTATCAAGGATAGCCGGTTGCTGTGCAAGAAGCAGATAACGTTTCGACCATACTTTTCAAAAAAAACATGACGCTAAAAATTTTCAAAAATTAAATTTACCGGAGCTTAGCTTAGCTTCCGTGACTTATTCTACTAAAATAAGCCTAATCGTTTGCTTTTTTGCTCGAAATTGGACTAAAACTCAAAAACTTCAAAAGAATAGCCGAAATCAAGGCTGAAAGGTCTTTAATATAAAATATCCATTCATGCATCGCAAGGATTAATCCATATTATCTAATTTTACAATAAATAACTATACTTAATTTAATGTTTCAAAGCAATTCGAAGACATTTATTGAATACTACATTCGTTTGGTATAGCCAAATATGGGTAACAGTTACAAAATCGGTCGAGTCGTTCTAACCTCACTCGAGTAATTTGATTGATCTAATCCCATCTGGTTAAAAAATATCTCCAAAAAATGTACAAGGCTAAGTTTACTATACAGCTCAAAGAAAAAGCATTTTGAGTGATCTGCTATAATAGCTGAAATCATCCCTATCATAGGTGATTTTTTGCCTCTACATAAAACTATGTTTTCAGGTCTTAAACGAAGGATAAACAAATTGTTGGAAGCCTGCACGCTCGATTCGTTTAGTCGAAATTGAAAAACAAATCAAAAATTTCAAAAAACTTTCTCTCGATTCTGAGAAAAATTTTGCAAAACTTTTCATTTTCGCTCAAATCAAGGCTAACAGGGCTTTAAAATAAAAAATCTATCAAACTATCACAATGACTATTCCGTACAAATAACTGGAAAACCAAAAAAGACAAAAAAATTTTTAGAAAGAATCATCAATGTTTTTCAAAATAATTCGCAGAAAATGTTTGATTTTTTTTTGAAGTTTTTGGTTCCCAAAATAGCAACAAAAATTCCAAAAATTATTTTACCTGCATAAAACTGAATTCTTAAGTTTTCTGGGCAGAAACTAAGGATAAAAAATTGTTGTGAGTCTGCACGCTTGCCTCGTTTGCTCGAAAAGGAAATGCAAATCAAAAATTTCAAAACAGTTTCTCTTGATTCTGAGAAAATTTTCGCAAAATTTTTTATTATGGCTCAAATCAAGGCTTACAGGGGATTAAAAAGAAAATTCTGTCTAATTATCACAATGACTATTCCATAATATCGATATTTGCAATACACAACTATAATCCTTCCAATTTTTGAAAGCAGTTTGAAGTTATTTGTCGAATCTACATTCGTTTGGTTTAATCAAATAGGAAAGGCAGATAGACCATCTGTTGAGCCGTTCTAACTTCGCTCGAGTAATTTGATTGATCTAAATCCATATGGCAAAAAAGTATTTCATGAAAAAACACATCGCTAAGCTTACTACACAGCTGGTACAAAAAGCATTTACAGTGATCTACTATAAAAACTCTAAACATAGCAAGAAAAACTCTAAAATTCGAGCGGCAATTGCACACAAAGCACTATCAATCAAATTGAAGAGGCAAAAAATCACCTAACAGGCCTTCACGAATAATTAGGAGCAAAAACAAAAACAGTTGGTTACAGTGCAAGTAGCACAGAATGTTCCGACCATTGTACGAAAACTATTTAAAAAAATTTTCCTAAATCAGTGTAATTTTTTCAGCGTGCTGTGATCTGACGTAGAATTATTATTTAGGCATAATCAACTTTAATAATAATTTAAGCAAACTGAACCAAAATTCTTGCACACAAATAATAAGAAATTCAAAAAGCAAAAAAAAAATTAGAAGGATTCAACTTTTTTTCAAAATATTTCGCAGAAAATGTTTGATTTTTTTGAAGTTTTTGGTTACCAAAATGGCGAAAAAATTCAACCAATTTTACCTACATAAAACTATGTTTTCAGGTCTTAAACGAAGGATAAACAAATTGTTGGAAGCCTGCACGCTCGATTCGTTTAGTCGAAATTGAAAAACAAATCAAAAATTTCAAAAAACTTTCTCTCGATTCTGAGAAAAATTTTGCAAAACTTTTCATTTTCGCTCAAATCAAGGCTAACAGGGCTTTAAAATAAAAAATCTATCAAACTATCACAATGACTATTCCGTACAAATAACTAGAAAACCAAAAAAGACAAAAAAATTTTTAGAAAGAATCATCAATGTTTTTCAAAATAATTCGCAGAAAATGTTTGATTTTTTTTTGAAGTTTTTGGTTCCCAAAATAGCAACAAAAATTCCAAAAATTATTTTACCTGCATAAAACTGAATTCTTAAGTTTTCTGGGCAGAAACTAAGGATAAAAAATTGTTGTGAGTCTGCACGCTTGCCTCGTTTGCTCGAAAAGGAAATGCAAATCAAAAATTTCAAAACAGTTTCTCTTGATTCTGAGAAAATTTTCGCAAAATTTTTTATTATGGCTCAAATCAAGGCTTACAGGGGATTAAAAAGAAAATTCTGTCTAATTATCACAATGACTATTCCATAATATCGAGATTTGCAATACACAACTATAATTCTTCCAATTTTTGAAAGCAGTTTGTTTGAAGTTATTTGTCGAATCTACATTCGTTTGGTTTAATCAAATAGGAAAGGCAGATAGACCATCTGTTGAGCCGTTCTAACTTCGCTCGAGTAATTTGATTGATCTAAATCCATATGGCAAAAAAGTATTTCATGAAAAAACACATCGCTAAGCTTACTACACAGCTGGTACAAAAAGCATTTACAGTGATCTACTATAAAAACTCTAAACATAGCAAGAAAAACTCTAAAATTCGAGCGGCAATTGCACACAAAGCACTATCAATCAAATTGAAGAGGCAAAAAATCACCTAACAGGCCTTCACGAATAATTAGGAGCAAAAACAAAAACAGTTGGTTACAGTGCAAGTAGCACAGAATGTTCCGACCATTGTACAAAAACTATTTAAAAAAATTTTCCTAAATCAGTGTAATTTTTTCAGCGTGCTGTGATCTGACGTAGAATTATTATTTAGGCATAATGAACTTTAATAATAATTTAAGCAAACTGAACCAAAATTCTTGCACACAAATAATAAGAAATTCAAAAAGCAAAAAAAAAAATTAGAAGGATTCAACTTTTTTTCAAAATAT